CAGGTCGCTTGTTGTAATGGGTCCTTCACAGAAGGCAACGTTAATTTTTCATATTGAAGCAACACTTACATTTGACAATGGATTTAGCAAAGAGTCTATTTCTAACCAAATTTTACAATCACCATGGAAGGACTAGGATACCATGCAAATGCAGGAAAGCTGACTTGAAGTGAGGATGTATTTCTGCCCTTCTGAAGGAGAAGGTGGGAGGGAAATACACAGCAATTTAGCAATTTTATATATGTGTGTGTGTGTATATATACACACACACAAAGGGAACCTTTCTGCTTAAATTCTCTGGGACATTTGCATATGAGAACTATCAGGAAGGTTATTAAAGATAACAAACGTCTTCTGATTTATATTTTATACTTTATGAGTAAGGTAAATTTCCAGTAACTTTTGTTGCATGTTTCATTTATTAGAGCTCTCTGATGCAACTTTAACTTTTTTTGGAACACTTTCTTTGTATGGTTAGAGTAGTTGCTACCTGTACTATAGTGAGTTGTTTTTGTAATTGGTTGGAGAGTAAATTATGAATTAATCCTTGCATCTTGAACTCACAGCTGACCAATACTAAGATGAAATAGTGTTAGTAGGAAATGGCCTTTCAAAAAGAAGTATTTTTGTCTTTTAAGGGATTCATTGGACCTCCAGGTATGGCAGGACAACCTGGACCTGAAGGAGAAAGGGTATGTTTAAAGAAAGATCGATAGTTTAATGAAATGAATATGCAATGAAGTATTGGAATTTGTGTGGAAATGCGATATGCTAAGGAAGCAATGTGTTTTAGAAGTGGCTTGTACAAAACAAAAAGGATGTTACTGTTCATTTGAGTCTTGGTCAAAAGGCAAAATTGGTAAGCAGAATATAAATAAATAGATCATCTAAAACTTGTCTAAGCAATGTGATACAGTGGTACTGAGGTTAATACGAATCACCTGTAAATTATTCACTCAATGTAATGTGAGGATTAGGGGTCTCTTTTTCTTACCACTGAGTTCAGTAATCAGTTGAAGCGATTTTTTCAGTATTTGCCAATTTCTAGAAAATGTGTAGAATAAAACTGTTCATAGCAGTCTCAATCTCTTTTACTCTATGCTTGAGCTTTTTTTTCTTTTCTCGTGAACACAAAGGATGTCTGACCATATGATTTAATGCAGCCAGGATCTGGCCTTTCTTTGTAGTTCAGCTGATATGTAGGTATGTCCAGGGCAAAGACTAGCAGTTTTGTGTTTCTGCTCATTCCTTATAGGAATACCTCTTATAGGACACTGGCTCTATGAGTCTTTGCTCAAATCTCTTCTTTATGGTGCTTGTTCTCAAACTGTGTTTTTCAATCGAGTGGAAGTTAATTTCCTGAATTCATATTATTGAAGAAAAGCAAGTTATGGTGGCTTATCTCTTCCCAGGGCATTCCAGGTCTCCATGGTAAAAGAGGCCCTAAAGGGAGACAGGTAAGGCTTTTGAAACTTATCATTTCTGCATAAATGGTCCTGTAAGTCACTGCATCATTTGAAAAATCTTACTTCTATACTTTCTGCAAATAACTTTCTATTGTTTCCTAGTACTTGCACTAAAGTGAAGAATGCTTAACAAGATGAGCCTGTGGATGGTTATTAATGTCAGCTTCATGAGAGTTAAAGTACAGAAGCACAGAAATATATTCTTGTAAAATTTGTGTTTGCACAAGGTATAGCTATGATGCAAGTTTGAGAAGTTTATTTTGGTGGTGTTTAAAATGCAAATCAGCACCTTCTAATGTCTGATATTTCTGGACTATGGCAAATTAAAGCTATTCTCTACTTACCATATATTTCTACAGCTGAAAATAAACACAGATCTTCCAAGCATACATTATCAAGGCTCACATTTTTTCTGTGGTATATCTTCTATGCCGAGTCTTTTGTTTTCTGCTGTGACCTTATTATTTGAGATCTTTGAAGCTCTCCAGGACCTTCCAATTTTAGCTTGTGGTTTGCTATTGGAAACAGCAATAGTGCTCCCCAGTCATGCATTCACTTGCACTTAGCATTTCAGATGGCTTTCATCTGAAACTGAACATGTAGCACTTGAACATGTTTGTGCAGCAATACTGTTGCCTTTCCTCTAACAGATGTCCGCTATAAAAATGCGGAGAACTCTGTTTAATTATTTCTTTTATTTTTTGTTTGCTCTGTTATACCACCATCCTATGAAAAAGACACCAGTCTTCAACACAGGTCTATTGGTATAAAGAGAGGCACACATAGTGTCGTTTCTGAAACTGCTATTAAATTGTTAAGGTGAAAGTAAGGTTCTGATTTTTAATTTTTTAGCTATAAGACACAGCACTCCTATACTTTTTGAGTATGTTATAGTTTACTTCTAATGTGAATTAAACTTGACCACTTTGTGCATCTGAGCAATGTACAAGGACAGGTTTGTCTATCAATATATTGCAGTAGTTGGTAGTATGTTCATGTCAGTGAGTCGCACGAAGCAGTTAAGAGGAATAAGAATCTAGAAGGGAAACAGAGGGCTTCTGCTCAGGGTGCATAAAGAAAAGGAGGTGGCAGGAGGGTGCTCTGCAAACCTGTTGCAAACCTGTGATTATAATCTCATTCTCGGGGCAGGTATCACTGCAGCTTCTGGTTGCCAGTGCGGTGGTTTTTTCAGTGCCTCTGGGCTGGTGCTGAGTGCCCTGTGGCGAGCAGTTGTCTCATTCTTTACAAGAATACAGTTTGGTACCAGGTTGTGCTCTGATTAGGGCTTTTAGTTATAAAAATCAGTCTGAAATGGTTTAATACACAAGAGACCTCAGTGAGAGTGCCTCTGTGCCATGTTATTGGAACCTCTTATGGAGTTCTCCTTCCTCTGTAATGTTGTCATTTCCATAATCCCAAGGTCATTCCAAAGCTTCTATTGCCCATAAAGCACTTACTTGACTAAAGTCTACCAATATGGTGACCAATCCAGCAGAGTAGTTAAATGGGTGCCTGGCTTAGTGTGCTTTGCTAGATAGAGAACGTCCTTTTTTTTTCTTTTCAGATGACAAGAGCTGTGGTGGACCCTGGGGCAAAAGACACTGTCAGAGAGCTGACAGCCCCAGGGCTCTGGGGCAGCGCATTGTCACTAAAGGATGCTTGGCACTGGAATTGCCTAGTGCCTGAAGTCAGACGCCTAGCCTTGTCTAGGATACAACTTATTTCTTTGGACACGTTTTCTGACAATGATAATCCTGGAAAAAGAATAGTCTGACTGGCAAAGTTCCTTCTGGAAGAAAATAAAGCTTGAATATGATCTCATTTTTTTGGAAAGTAATCTGAAGTATAAAAAGTGGAGACTGTGGTCTTCCACTGGATAAATACAGTAGTTCATTTAATATTTAATAAGGATTGAAAACTACAGTAAGAGCATATTAGAAAGGTCATAGATGAGACAATTAGACTTGCTGATGTTTAGTTACTCATCTTAAGAGACTGACAGGTAATATATTTGATACTTGACAAAGTGCTGTGCCATTGATATTCAAAATGCTAACCACTTAGCAGGCTTGCTGAGTAGTTACTAGTATTTGTAATGTTTGGCATATTTGAAATGGAACAAAATATTCAGTTGCCAAAATCTTTATTAGGAAGATTAGAGTAGGGATTTGTTTGAGATTCATGGGATATATAGTTCACTTTAAAGAAAATGATTTATAGACAAAGCATATGTATCCTGTTTATTCCTGTTGTATGCTTATGGTTCAAAATTTGCCTTATTCTGCAGTATTTTTAATGCATTGTATATCATGTTACTCTGATGTGTTTTTCTGTATATAGTTTGACCACATTTAGGGAGAATTTTTTTTACATAGTTTTCTTCTGTATGGGACTAGTTACAACCAGCAGCCAACGTGACAGAAAAGACTTTATAAACTGTACTAGGAATTTATTAGTCTAGTACATTGTAACTGTGCAAAAACAGTTAAGGTTCTGTTTTCTATTAAAATTATGAATAGTCTTCCTTCATATGTTTTATAGTAATGTGTTAGATAATATTGATGTAATAAAACATTTGTTGCACAGTAGTACTACGAAACTACTTCCAATTTTAGACTTTTCTGACTGCTTTCCTAGGTTGGAAATTCTTCTCCTTTTCTACTTACTAATATAATTTTATTGGCATCAGTTAGAAGACTCATACTGTTGAGAATGGAGTTATGGTAACTGTGGGTGATGTTTCCTTAATAATCCATGGCATGGTGTTTCAGTGCTGTATGTAAATAATAATCTACAACCTGCATCTGTTATCTCATTGCTGGAAAAAATGTCTCATTGCATTCTCCATTTCCCTTTTGATGACTTTTTTTAAAAAGTTAATAAGTTAATAATAAATAATAAGTTAATTTTGTTTTACAAGAAGCTTTAGTGCTTTACTGGGCTAGTCTAATTTCTTCTACATCCTTGTGTTAAAGGAGAATTGCTATCTCTGATAACCTGAGCTCCATTCCAAAAACTCTGATCAAAACGAATGAGGCTTTCTCATATCTTGTTTGCATTATTGTCTCAGTCTCTGGATGCAGACTGAGGAAGACAAATGTTCACACTGGTAAGGAGTGTTGTGCCAGAGTGTGGAAAATCTCATTTCTAATGCACATTTCTCATACTGAGTCTGGAGCCATTAGTATTTGGGGAACAGTAAAGAGAGAGTGAAAGACAGAATATTTTACTGAAATCTATATGTCACAAGAAAAAAAAATTAATTTTGAGGTAAAAGCACTAACCACAGAAATAGGAGACTCCAAGCACAAACAATCTGAGTTATATTGCTGTAATATTGCTCTCAAAGCACTCTGTCATCTGATTTTATCCTTCACTTGCAGTATGTTGTTACATTTCTTTGGATATGATTTTAAAAAACAACAAAATATCACTTGAACAGCGTGACTGAAAACTTCTTCCTTTTCTCTGTCTGTCTCCACCTTGCTGCTGCTGTCTTAATTTTTAAGATCAATAGGACTTTGATGCATAAACCATCCTTTGTGTATGGTCCTAAAGAACAAGATTCTCTTTTCTGCTTTAGGGTTTTCCAGGTGACTTTGGAAATAGAGGACCACCTGGTCCGGATGGGAATCCTGTAAGTATCAAATTTTGTGCTGATTAACATAGTAAAATACATAACATTCATGATGAACACTTTTTTGAATAGAAAGGAGATTTTTTTTTTCCCTGAAAAGCCTACTTCTGAAGCCTGTGGGAAGATTTGTTACTTAAATGTGGAAGATGCAAGGACAGTACTGAAGTGGGCAGTGGTGATGGAAGTGAAAGGGAAGAAGCTACATGCTCTCAGCAGTTTCACTGCCACAGGTGCTGGCTATCTGAAGTCAAATGTTTTCCTGTCCCTCTTGCATTACCAGTTGATGTTTTGACTTCAGAAATTTATTCAGAAATATGTTTTCGCATTATTTATTTAAACTATAAAATTCTAGGATCCCATTAAAAAAAAAAGCATTCTGAACTTCTGTGCCAAAACCCTGGCTTTTGGATGCTTGTGCATTTGATAGTTGATTGCATGCTATGAATGATACTGAATGCACTGTTACTAGTATGTCACTTAGTGCATTATAACCAGTGTGGTAACAGCTCCATCCTTGGCAGCACTCTTAGGCTGAACTGCTCTGCTGGTGCAGTCCTCAAGCTGGGGCACTGACACGTTGCTTTGCTGCTTGTGCTCATAGGAGCTTTGCTTTCCCACCCTGTTTGTAGGGAAGCTCTCACACAGACTCCAACCCCAGGTTTCCTTTGATAGAAGAAACCAGCGTAAAGGGCTTTGGGCCACATGAGCAAAGGGCACTTCACTCTGCTCTTACTTCTGGATCTCCTTTTTGGAAACTACTATCAGCTGCTATTGGAAATGGTCAGAGTTGGTCTCCTTGCTAAAGACCTGCCCTTTCCTGACCTTGAGATTGGAAGATTGTTTTAAGAGCAGCTGCTGTGAACATTACTCATGCAATTAGTATCCTCTGGTGCCAGAATTTTGAGACATGGGAGAAAATTATTTTGCATTTTCTGAGGCAAAGACCCCCATGAGGCAATGTCAGAGTATGTCAGTTTGTGCTCATAATCTGCTCTGGGGGTTGTACCTGTGATGGACTGCTTTGCAAAAGGCACGCAGGAGTACTTCCTTTCCTTGCTGCTATTCCCAGATCCCCCTCCTTTCCTGAAAAGCAGAGGTGCTTTTTCCACAGGATCTAAAGAACAACGGTGCTTTAATAGAAACAGCCTCAGAAAGCCTGGGTCCTAAATTGCAGACTTGCACATCACAAAGAAGCCTGCTTTAGCACAAATATTTGGGAGCGAGTTCCTTCTAATCCTGAGGCAGCTGCTGCTCCTGCTGCCTCCCCGAAGAGGCAGCAGCTCCTGTGCCTTCCCCAGGTCTGGCTCAGGAAGGGGACCGGGGCCGCAGCTGTGGGGGCGGCCGCCTGGCGCGATGCAGATACGACCTGATCCTCGCAGAGCCGCGTGCCGTGCTGGTGCGGGACAGCGATGCCGCAGGGAGGCCTGCGGTGAGGGAACATGGAGGCAGGGCGCCCCTCCTAGCGCTGCCCCGCTAGTGACACCTCTCCCATGCCCATGGAAAACATGGCGGCGGAGTCCGGCCTCCGGCACTTAGGTTGGGGCAGGTTGGTGTAGGAGGAGAGGGTAGAGGCTGGAGGTGCCCGCTGTGGCTCTGCCCCTTTGGGTGGCTTCTCCCGGGCACAGTTTTGATGCCCTTCGTGATGAACGGGAATGGGCTGTGGGGAGCCCTTGGTAGGATTTCCATCGAGTTCCTGGTCGCAGAGGTTGGGCCAGCCAGTGGGAAGGGTGCTGGCCTGGGGGAACTTGTTCACATCAAGAAATATTTTTCCATAAAGAGAATGTAACTCTAATGTGATTTACAGGTGACAAGTGTCTTGCTCTGAACAGGGTTGCCTTTTTTTTTTTTTTTTTCCCCCCCTAAAGAATCTTCATAGTATCTCATGGAGTCCTCTCCCATCTCCATTGCTTTTTCTTCTTCCCTCTTAAAATATCAGGATATCAAATCTGGCATTCTTCACTAACACAGGAATGACTTTAAGACACAAATATCTAATTCACAGTCAAGGGTTTCAGTAAGTATAATCCTTTACACAGTGGCAAGCTGGCACTTTTCAGGAACTTCCTAGATAAATCCCAATGTATTTATTTTGCAGATGATTCTTATTTATCTTAGTAGAACTGATAATTTCTTAAAATATTAAAATTCTGATAAAGTTATTTATCTTTTAAGGGTATCGTTGGTGGTGTTGGTCCTCCTGGATTTCCAGGACTAAGAGTGAGTAGACATCTATTTATTTATTTTGATCTGATTCAGGGAGTTATTTAAACTTTTTTTAATTAGCCACTGGTGTAGTTAATATCCCTTCACAAAATTGCTGTCAGATTGCTGGTATGGAGCATGTATATACTAGTTTTCTGTTTCTAGTATTCTTGTTTCTGATCTTCTGCGTCTGGATTTCTTTTTATCTGAAGCAACTGCTGTTTTTTCAGTATTGTCCTCAAATGTTCCTTTTTTGATGGATTTTTAGAATAAGCTTGTGCTACCCATTATGTAGTTGCAAACTGAAGCTGTATAAAGGCAGTCACACCCGAGAGCACCTCGCAACGCAAGTGTGCTGTACAGGAGACGAGAGCAACTGTGACACTTTGAGGCAGTGTGCCCTTATTCCCTTTTTTCAAACAATTCATATGTTTACTGACAGAGGACCTGGCTTTGATGGTGGATGTTGGCTCAGTTGAATCTGGTTACCCAGCCTTGTTCATAGTTCATAATATGTGGGAGAAAATGGCATGTTTACACTTGAATAAAGAAAGCCTTGGTTGTGTGTGTCTTTGTTTTGTTTTGTTTTTCTCTTGATCTCTAAAACATTCTTAAACTTTATTAGTTCACCCTGATGGCCATCTAACTTTTCTTCTGAAGTGTGATGGCTGAAGTCTATTATTATTTCTTTTAATTATATGCTTGTAATAAGCAATGCAGCTATAAGAGGTGCCTTGCTGCCTGTATGGGGTTGTTACGGTATTGCTATAGTGAAGGCACAAGGTTGGTCAAGAAACCCCTGCTGTCTGCAGTCCTCATCATACAAACATGACTCACTGTGTTTTTAGTTCCAGCTGAACCACTTGTGAGACCAGAGACTGCATTCTTGGGAATTTGCTTTGAATTATGTATACGTGTGTGTGTGTGTGTATTTTTATATATATATTTTTTTCCTTATGTGTCCATTTTTGGAATTTTGTCTCAAGGGCTTCAATAGCCATGCAAATGTATTTGAGCTTTTTAGGGGGAGGAAAAAAAAAGCATATATAACTCCTATAGATATGATATTAATAATTAATATGATTAAACTGAATCAGCATGGTATGTTTCCAAAATGCTACTATAAGGTGACAAAAAACCCTTTTCACCCATTGCCAGTTTGGGGTATTCCTGCTTTGAGCCTCAATCTATGTGGAAGCAAGTTTTTGTTCTTGTCAATAAAATAAAGGTATGTTTTGCCAAAAAATATTTATACTCTCAGATGTGAAGTAACAGCTGATTTCTTGTTGCTGGAATTGAGTATATGGTATGAGTCTAAAATACTCCCACCTGTAAATGATAGGAGTGGATTTGTTCAAAACAGCAGTACTTACCCAAGGAGGTGGCACAAAATCTCTGAAGATTCTGTATTTCTCCATCAGTGTGAGCTACCACCTCTCACTTCTATATGGGGGCCTTTGCACAGCTCCAGCTGTGTAAAGGAATATAGCTATTTGCATGTTTACTCTGCGTATCTTTTTTACTCAAAGTGAAGTCTCCTTTAGTGTAGACAAAAATTGAGATTTGCTTCCTCGTCATGTGAATTTATCAACCTAAATTGCTCTTGCTAATAGTTTTATTCCTGCAAAGTGACAATTTGGGTCAGGTCTTTTCCAGAGAGGACTCTGTTATTCTCATCTTTTCTTGGTATTAGACTTAAAAACCCAGGAAATGTTGCTACTTTTAGATTATCTGTTGCTGCTCCCTTTGACAGCAGGGCATTAGAGGTCTTTTACAGAACGGGGAGCTCCTTTAGTCCCGATGCTTGTATGTTTGCAGCTGAGATGGGTGTCTGTCTACTGAAAAGCCATGACTTTGTTGGAAGCAGATCTAATTTTGCGAATTATTTTTTCAGGGCTTAACAGAGTGTAGTGCTCAGATGGCCAATGTTTTGACAAAATCATGCATGGACAAGTGACTATGTTGTACAAATGCTGTTCAGTAAAGATAGGTAGGGTCACTGTGTGACCTTCTCACAGCCTAATACATATTACAGGTGTAATGGCATCTTGCTTCCTTGAGACAAGAAACGCTGCTTGAGGACAGCTAGCTCTTCCTGGATAAGACCTTACTGGTGCAGGAAGACTTTGCAGTTGAGGGATAGGGCTCAGCAATGTTTCTTTAAAATTTCTCAACAGCCTTCGGAAGCTTCCAAAGCACCAGCAAATCTGTGTGGTTTAAAAATAAGTTGAATGCATGTCTGAAAAAGACTTTTGTAACTAATGAGATAAGTCATGCCTGTGCACTGTGTGAGCCCAAGATCATCCCTGTGCACCCTCTGGGTTCTGCACCACATCATCTTAGTGCTCTTGCTCCCAGTTTCCCAAGCAGGAAGATAATTGGAGGAGTTAATCTCTATCTGTATTTTCTTTACAATAAGCTATTGCACCCTTGCAGCTGTTGCAGAGTCCCACCAAGGCGGGGGGAATTTCAGGTGGCTGCCACCATTGCTGGCAGTTTGTGCTGCACAGCCCCATTCCTGCCCCACGCCTGCTCTCCCCAGACGGCTCCCGCGCTCGCAAGTTCTGGCCTCAGTTTTCACGTGGCTCTGTTCAGGCAAATGCCAAGGGTCATCCGAAACGAAGTAAAGAGTGAGACACCTTCATATTAGTCAGTTGTATCACATTATACCACTACAAGATGAAATGTTGAAGAGTAGATTAAATGTTATACTAGCAGAAGCCAACAAAATTAATTCAAGCAGCTTGTCCAACCCAGCGGTATGTGAAGTCCAGAACTAACTATACTTTTATGTTTGTTCATGAGAACAACGGTAAAGCAAGCAGAATGGGCAAGCCGAGTCCAAGAATTCCCTCCATCCGTGAGTTTTTCAATATATTAAAACTCCTGCCAAATTCAGAGTTTTGGCTGGCTGAGCAGTCAGTCTCTCATGATTTGCAAGGCCATGAGTTTTAGTGAGACGAGGATTTTGAGAAAACTCGCTACTGCAATGACCAGAGCAAATTCCTCCCTTGAAAAGGAGCCATCTAACCATGTTTCCCTCATGTGGTGTCGCTGTGTTGATCTTTGAAATATTGTTCTTTGTTTTGTTATGTTCTCTCTCTGTCTCATGAGATGTAACTGTTATCAGAGAAAGCAGAGATGTAGCAAGGGCTTGAAAGGTACCTGATGATGGAAGCAGTTAATTTGACTGTCAGAATTTAGGGTAAGATTGCACACGTGGTGCAATTTGAGGGAGAATTACTTTTTTTTTTTCTTTTTTCTTTTTTTTAACTTGTAGAAGTCAATGAACAAAAAAAAACAAACAAACAAAACAAAAAAAAACAACCAAAAAAAAAAGCTTTTTATGAAGTGTCATTGTCCACAGCAGAATTCCTTTATGCCGAATTTGATGCTTCCAGAATAGTGATGTTCCTATTACACCAAAGGCAGAGAGGAGATAGCCACTGGATGTGCAGCAGTAGTGTAAAGGAAAGGTTCCTTACTCAGCATCACCCTGCACACCACTATTTACTCCTGGATACATAATATTCAAAAGAGGAGGCAAAGTTGTTTCCTGGCATTGCTGTGGATGTGGATGGGAGGACTTACAGTATAGGTGCTTTGACCCAGGAAATTAGACTAACAGACTTTTGGCTTCTGATTATGGTGCAGTAAGCACTATATTGTGCTATCAGTCTCTAGGTTACTACACTCCAGCAAACATTTAATGCAGTTGCCTTTTCTGCTATTTCTTAGGGAGGTGCTGTGCCAGCAGGACCAGGCGTCCAGGACCCACGGTACAGTGCGAAGTGTTCCCACAGCCCAGGTGCCTTCACTGCTTTCTAAGATACAGACAAGCTTTGGATTTTTATTTTCTTCACTTTAACAGGGTCTTCCAGGGAGTGCAGGACAGCCTGGAATGAAAGGTGATAAGGTGATTTAAATATTTCCATTATCCTAGAAATACAGTCTTGTTAGATTTTTTTTATAAAAACTTGAGCAAAATACCTTGCTTGACAAAGCCTTCGATTTTTATTTTTGATTTCTTTTCTCTTCTGTTTTTTCTTTTTATAAAATATTTTAGACGTGGAATCTGATCATTTGGACAAAATTACTTCTGAACAGAGTACTTTTAATAAGCAAAACAGTGTCTGGTGATGTGTCTGTAGGGTTTGCTAGGTGCTGTAAATCCCAATTCAAAGACATTCTATGCTATACTTTTAAATAATAAACACTGACTTTATTTTTCTCCTTCTCTAATTTTGAGAACTATATATCTGTATAAACATATGTAACATATATCTGTATAAAATAATGTGTTGTTTAGGGTGAACATGGCCTTGCAGGAGACCCAGGAGACCAGGGGTACCCAGGAGACAAGGTAATTTCTAATTGCACTGTTTTACAGAATTGTCCAATTTCAGTGACTTCTTTGGGTTTTTTAAGTCTCTTAAAGTGCAATAACTCAGTTACATAAAAGTAGAATGCAGAACTAAAAGTTACAGGGTACCACTGAATTAACATGTTTTTGAGAAATGCTTTGCTAATTAAAACTCAGTTGGGAAAGTAGTGAATGATGACAAGTAAAAGGCATGGCAGAATTCTGGGTGTCGTCAGAGTTTGGTGTGATCTGTTGCTTACTGAAAGCTGCTCAGAAGCTGTTGTACAAGACTTTCCCTTGGTCCCGAGGCTTCATATGCACTTCATCTGGACCAATTTTGGCTAGCATTAGCCCATGGTCTGGCATGCTGCTTAATAGGAAATCAAGACAAGTATTCTGTTCTTCTTTGACCAGAACATTAGAAGTCACTAAAATAGTGTATTCTGGGTGAACTTTTTCGCTGAACTCATTTCAGATCTGACAGATTGATTTTGAAGACGACTTTGGGTGGCAAAGTATGCCAATCTATTTACTGCTCCCAACATAGGGCAATGATACATTTTAGTTTGTATTCATTAGCTTTCTTTTTTTAAGGGTGCTGTTGGTTTGCCGGGTCTGCCAGGGATCAGAGGAAAGCCAGGACCTCCTGTAAGTTTAAACTTTATTTTTTTTCTCTCTGTGTGTCACTGTATGTTATATTAGATACTCCTGTGTTGCACATGTAGGCCACATATAATCCTCTAGAAGCCACTTATGTCAAAATACACAAACAATAATTACTAAGTTTGCTTTATTTCTAGTGAATTATAATTGGTGACAATCACATCCTGACATGTATGAGTTGTGTTATAAAGATCAGCATATATAATGTCAAATTTTAGCATGGGAATTACTTACAACATTTGGCATTCTGTGACAGTTGCTTTCAGGGGAACAGTCATCATGGCAATGCTAGAACCAAATTCACTAGGAGCTTTGGGAGCTGCCCAGGTGACCATTTGGGCTAATTGAATTTGCAGAGAACATGGAAAATCTCATAAAATCTCAGGGCAATTCAAAGGCATTTACTCATTGTGACTTCAACAAGGCATGAAGAAGAGTGAGTCTTCATTTAATGAAAAGAAGCAGTATAAAATTACCTCTTTAATAAAAAGTCATTTGAACAGTTTTGTTGGTTTAATTTTATTTTTTTTAATCTTAATAACAGTCTGTTGTTTAAAAAAAATTTAATTGGTTATCCAAAACCTAACAGCTTGGATTCTTTTAAGGGAAAAATTGGAGATCCTGGATCACAGGGACCATTGGGTCCTCCAGGTCCTGAGGTAAGAAATTACTTGATTAAATTTGAATGTAATGTAAATTATAACAATCAGTCAAAGGGGTTTTTTCTTTTACACAAATATTTTGACTTAGTTGAATCAGCAAGTACTTTTTATTTAGTCATATCCTATAGGATATGTAGGCTAATGGGTTAATTCTCCTTGAAGTACAAAAAAACTCATTAATTTTTAAAACAAAATATTAATATACTGTATCCTTGAATAAAGCATAAGTACTGCATTTGCATATGCAGTTGGGATCAGTTTTTACGTGAATTGCAGAATTACACTCATCATGTGTACTCCCATCTCAGATAAACTTTCACTCACAGCTTCCACAACGTGCCTACAAACCATCTTCCAAGCCTGGAAGAATACTACTTTCATAGAAAATCATTTTATTTGGAAGGAATGCAAAGAATGGACACCAGTTACATCATTAAGTACTTGATTCTGGCATGACAGTTACCTAAAAACTGTTTAATATGGTGATGTGGGTGATGTGCTATAGAAAAAATGCTGTGGACTGCACAGGAAAGGCAAGCAGGCACATGCACAGATGCTGAAGAGAGCAAATATCCAGATTTCTGTTTTTAATCTTCTTCCTCCAACAGAAGTGTATTTTTTTGTTTGTTTGGGTCTGTTTTTATTTTTAAATACGTGCATATATTCATAAGATACATGGTAGCTAGTTTGGTTGTTCTGGCCTTAAAAGAAGGAGCATTCGTCTTCAAACAGAGGCTCTGAGCTCTCACCTGTGGTAACTGGGAGGCCAAGGATTTTCTATCCTCAAAGAGCAAATTACTGGGTTTTATCACCTTGTTAGCTGCTGTAGGTTTCACTGGTGCTCCAGAACGTGGACTTTCTTGCTGAAGACAAGCCCTTGCTGAAGACGAGCCCTTGCTGAGAGCAGACTTGCCAGGAAATGTGTTTAGCTTCATGAGATAGTCTGAACAGACTAAGCCAGCAGTTTTAGTGACTGGAGAGGGAATATTTTAATACCATTTAGGTAGAATGGTATTAAATGCACATTTTGATTTCACGTTTTGTAAGCAGCTCCTCTATAAGCAGAAGAAATCTCCAGATCCGGTCTCCTCTGACAAGTTTTCAAATTGTCAGTGCTGAAGCTTGTGCCGTGGTCACACACAGCTTGGCAGAGCAGAATTAACTTCAGGCACTGGAAGGCAAATTGTTTCTGGATAGATAATCAAAGCATGAGTGACCAGGTGTTTTTCTTTAAATATTTGACAGCAAAATGTCAGATTTAAAACTACAAAGCAATGAAGCTCTTACCTTTACTCACGCAAGCCAAACTCTTATGAAACAAAGTAAATTTTGCCTGTCCTATTTCCACACGTTAAAACATGGTCACCACATGGTAAAGAGCAGAAATGTAAGGGAGACAGAACAGCTGTATACCAGGATCTTGAAGAAATTGGAAATTCCAGAAATTCCTTAATAAAAGAAAGAATAAATACCTTCTTATATTTGAAGATTGTATCTTTTATTTTCCTTCTTGACTGATACCTTATAAAAGTAACTAATCGTTATTGGCAGGAGCTATGTAGACACGCTGGGATATGTGAAGTATGGGCAGTTGCTGCAGTTTTTCCTGCCAGTGCATCTCTAGCCATGTTTCTTTCATGAGCTCTAAAAACAGGCAGCTGGCAGGTCAAACAGAGCTGTTTTCCCTGTTCCCCTTTCATTATCTGAATGTTTGGACATTTTGTGACCCCATGTAGAAAATGAAAATGTTGAATTCATGCTGCATGTTCTCATTCACGCTTCTGGAAATAGCCAGTACAGACCTCAGAGTTGCAGTGAATACTTTCTCCAAAGGAGAGTGATTTGGAGGTGGTATGAACACGACATCCTGCCTGCCTTCCAGGAAAGGTGGTTGGTGGCACTCGTTAAAAGCAAACAAAAAATGACTTTGTGATTGGTTGTCTCATTTGCCCACTAGCAGAACCTGTCAAATCCTGCTTCAAATTGGCTCTCTTTCCTGTCGTCCAAAACTTGGAGTGGGATTTAGAAACATATCCAGTCCCTAGATTCAAGCTGTTGATCCAAGTAGTTGTGCGATAAGTAACTGTGGATCTTGTGATCCAACTCTGGTTCCAGGATTTTGTTTTTCTTTTCCTAGGTCTCTTCCATATGATGAATAAATAGTCCCATTCCTGATTTTCTTCCCATTTAGACTGCTGTAAATGAGGCATTGCTGAGGCTGAAGTCTGTAGTCCTCCCGCACATGCCCGCAGGAGCAGGCCCAGTGTGTTTCATTCGTTCTCTTGGATTTTTAGTGTAGTTCTTTTTGGTTTTTAGATGCAGTTGAGCAGTGACTTGTTTCCCAGCCCTTTCTCCAGTTGCTTTGCAGCAGAGGTGCAGCAGATTGGAGCTGAAATAAGCCACCCACTTGCAGTGAAGCTGCACTGGGAGCTGCAGTGCTGAGCAGCAGGCCACAGAGCTAGGGGCTGTTTCAGTGGGGGCAGCTGCTCTTCAGAAAACACAGGGTATGAGCAAGTTCTTTTCAGAGTGTATTCTTGATCACAAGCTTTACAAGGTTTCCTGCTTTGTGCATCTAAAAATGAACATCTAAATTTACAGCTTTCTAAAGTGCTTTGAGTTAGTTATGTAATGGATATTCTAAGGTAAATGAAATTAGGATAGGTTTCAACAGCGATATATCCATAGCATTTTACTTGTAGGAAAGTTTTACTCCAAGAATGATATTTAATTATCCCCCAGGATTGGGGATGATCATTTCCTTCAGATGTGCCTTCAGATGTACTCTGAGTATTCTAAATAGTTTTCATCTGTAACAGAGGGAGTATCAGTCATTATCTTCAATAGAAATTTATTCCGTCTCAGGATTATTTTGAAGTATTTAGCTCCTTCTTTCAGGAAGGTGCTCATATGGGATTCAGCTGCTATATGCTTCATGCTTAAGGCAATAGCATTACAAAGAAATAGGATACATTCATATAATAATAAAGAGGTACATTTTTTGTAAGTGAATCATTGGCTGCTCTCAATTGTTTGTTTCAAAAGAGAAAAAATTTCTGATGCATGTTTTATCTTATCACATGATGTTTGGAGGCTGTGTAAGCAATGCCATGAATGCAATAACCTTTTCAGTATTAAATAAATTGAATAACTTACCAAACTTAGCAAATAAAATAAGTTAACATCTAAATGGCTTGGAGAGCATACAGAAATGTAGGACATTTTATAGCTGAATCATTTGCATGCCTTGGCATATATCTGAAGAACTGCTCTGACTGCAGAAAGCCTTCCTGCTTCACCTTGCATAGTATCTTGAACCAGTTTTTTAACCAGCTCCTCCTAGGCCCTAGTGCATTTTTACAGACATTCATAAATATTTTCCATTGGATTTGTATTCTTACAGGTTTTTCTTTTTCAGACTGAGTTGTGTGAGACCTCACAGAGGTGTGTGAGAGAGAAAGTAAGCTTTTTGGGTTAAAATGTGTCTCTGCATAGATTGTAAGTCCTTTTAGAAGAATCATAAATGCTTTTTGTATGAGAAGGCCAAATTATCTCTCATTTGCTTGGTCTAGAGAGGTGGTTGTTTTATGCAGGAATCTCCCTGTAGCTTATGTATATACTCTCTCTCTCTATATATATGCATATATGTGTGTGTGTGTGTGTATATATATATATATATGTATAAAGCTTTAATTAAGCTTTCTGCTGAAATCCAGGAGCTGCATTTAGTCAGTATCACTACTGAAAATTCATTTAATGTTCTCATTCAAGTGAAACATTACACGTAGCTGAATGAGATCATTTCTGAGCAGGGAAACTTGTCAAGCTGAAGGGGCTATCGCAGACCCAGGAGAGGCTTTTACCCTTACAGAGCTCCCTTCCCAGCCCCGCTGAGGATATCTGGGCATCCCCTCAGTAACTAGAGGGCACAAGGGCCCGTGCTTAATGGCACTGCTGGCATGTGTCTTGTGGATAACCCCAGGAGCAAACTGGATGCTGCAAATGCAGGGGAACTGCTGCAGGAAATGGAGTGTGTGTTCCAAACATCTTAACAGTCTCCCCCGATATTAGCAGCCACAAAGAAATGAGGAGAAAAAAAAAATAAAAAAGGCATGAGCTTTTGCAGATCTGCCATCTCCAAGACTGACTTCAGTGCTAAAAGGCATTCACTGGTTCAGTAGCAATCTGTTAGTCTATTTAGGGTTTTGTTATTTGTTGTATAGATAATAAATTGGACCAAAATATTAGGTTTTTTTATTTCTTCATGAAATATATTTCATGGTTAAACATACTCAGCACAAAAATCAATGCTTTCATGATAAGATTAAAACATCTGTGTTTTGAGATAGTTGGTCTTTCAGTGATTTTTTTTTTTTATGCTACTTCTAATACGATTAAACTAAGTGAACTCTAAAGTGCTTTGCTGGCAAAAGGCCATGTTGGCTGCAAAAACTTGAAAATATTTTGTAACCTACCAGCTGCCAAACATCAGGCTGATGGCAAAGTCTGGAGTCTGCTCTCTACATTTCCTTAGAAGAACATGTCTACTAATATTTTGTTCTGAAGGGTCTCAGCTGAAAATTACATATTACAGCTGGAAACTACATACTGATTTCCTGGTCTTTTCCTTTATGCAAGAATAATGATTTTGTGTATTAATCCAGAGTGGCTTTATGGGAAATTGGCTGTTGAATAACCTTTGGCAAATTCAAGTATAGGTAGAAATATACCATGGCACAGGTTGTAATTTGGATGACAAATGCATCTGCTGGGCTGTGTTTTTTTTTTTTTTAAAACACCTTTCTGGTTCATTTATTTTCTTGAATTGTCTTGCATGGCACCATTGTGTCACATATTACTGATGTGAAAATGTCATAGAAACGGTGTTCTAGGTCTGCTACAGAACCTGTGTTTTCTTTGTAGATGATGCTCGAAAGGAGAAAAAAAAAAAAAAAAAAAAACCCAAAACAGGCATATAGCAAAGAGAAACAATGAAGATTTTAAACATTTAGCATTGCTCAGTTTGGTGCTGTCTGGCTAATAGCCCTCTTGTATCATAAGACTTTGTTTGAAATTGCATTTCCAAACAATTGCATTTCTAACACTTCCAAATTTAACTGTTGTTCTAACTCATGGCAGTTGTCAAACCTTGCATCTTTCCAGATGTCTTCTGGAAATATTTATACACATAAATAAGGTGAATTCCCTTACAGGAATATGAAAGGATGGCTTAACAACTTCCATAGTATTGACTTACCTCTGCAGTGTAATTCAGTAAGTATACTGGGCCAAGATTTAAAAAAAATTCTTAAGAACTGTTCAGAAATCTGGGCTGATAAACTGATATAATTTAGGTAACAGTCTGTCTGCCTTGCCACCTGTGAATAATAAGCCATGTGCCACCTAGAGGCGCGTTGGAGTTTTTGCAAAACTCTGGTAGTTATTATTGTGTTGTTGCAAAAAGAAATGATCATTTTGATACTGTGGTGAAACACAACATGTTAGGTTGGTTCCAGTTATTCTGAAAATTCAGCTGAACTCTCTTACCACTTATTATTAGGTTTTCTTTAGCATTCATTAGTATTCAAGTAATAAAATTGAAGTTTTTTTTTAATAAATCACGATTTTTGTTTCCTGTATTTATTTTAGATTTATTAAATAAACACATCAAACCATATTTGCATTCTGTTGTCCTATCCTGTCTATAACTCTATTTTCATCCTCTTAAGAACAATTTATAAAAAGTAAGCAGAAGAAAGCCAATCAGCTAACAGTGATGCCCTAAATGCCTTTTATTTCTTTTTTTTTTTTTTTTTTTTTTTTTTTTTTAATTATAAAGAGGCAGCTCTACCATTCTACTTACAGGGGAAGCAGTATTTTCTGTAAAGTTCTTTAATCTGACCTCAGTTCACCTTTCCGGCAAGTGTTTTGTGATTGGTATTTTAAATATTCATTAAAAATGATTATCAGCCGTATTTCCAGCTTGGTGATTTTGGGAAAACAGAGTGCAGCTAACTATTCCTAATGAGACGATTTTGTATGCCTCTCTTGTGCTTGAAAAAAACGAAAAATTACTCCTGAAGCTTCACTGTTGACATGCATTAGCCTGCAATATGGAAGAGTGCCAGAGGGAATTTCACACTGGAATTTCTTTATGAAATGTTCTTTAAAATATTTTGAACATGTGCACTGCTTTTACTTCCAGGATGTGCAAAGATAACATTTCTTGAGGGGGTGTTTTTGAAACTTAACTCACCAGTATTTACGTTGTACGGGTTAGCAGCAATCATTTTTCTTTCCTCAAAATAACCTCTTTCCTTGCAAAGCAGGCTACTAGTAGCATGTAGAAATATCTTCATTGAGGCCCACTCAGTGCTAACTGGCCAAGTAGCTTTACGTGATAATTCTAAGTGATTCATTTCTTTTGCATATTTGGTTGGTTCTTTATCTACAACTGGATCTCTACCACACACTATTTCACAAAGACTTACTCTGAATAATGTTATGTGCAACTGACCTTCACTTGCTGCCAGCCAGAACTCGGTTAGAACCTACTTCTAGATTAGTACCTGCTGATTTGGAGGCAAAAGGTGTTCTACCGTATTCTTAATCCAGGATTGATCTGGCCCTTAAAGTGAAGTGAAGATTAAAGCACTTCAGCTGCACTCTAAGCTATTATTATTATTATTATTATTTCAGTTGAGTTCATGAGTCTGAGACGTGGTGCTGTTTGCTTTGTGGGTTTTTTGTATATCAAGGCCAGTCCAATGCTTTAATTAAAAATGTTGTTTAGTGAATAACAAGTCTCATATTAAGAGAAATGAAATTCATACTGACATCTGTGAAACAGAGTTTAATGAAAGCTGCCTAAAATCTGTTATTTATCCAACTCCTGTCAGGGGATCTTAATGGACATTCTGGGGATGGTAGAACAAATCTATTTCTTTGTTTCTGTGTTTCAGAACAGAATCAAAACAAGAACATTGGAAACATTTCTGCCTTATAAATCATTTGTCTGTGTGGTTTATTTAGGGTTTTCCAGGAGATATTGGGGTGCCTGGAGCAAATGGCCCTGAAGGTCCAAAGGTAAGACTACTTGGAACTTTATTCACAATAGCAGTGAACATTATATACATCTGAGAAGAAGCTGTGCAAGGTGGACACTGGCATTATGAGAGGGCAATTTTGCTGTCAGGCTACTTCTACTTCACCTCAGGTGTTTAGATGAGGAAGTCAGTCCAATGCTTAATGCTGTCCACACTGTTATAAGGATAACTTCTGTGTTAGATGGAAGCATAATGGCTAGTCTAGTGCAAGAAAATTTGGATGAAGTACCATATAGTTAGAAAGCAGTAAATATTTCACCTATATTTAAATCAGAAAAAAGGTTCCAAATGCACACAGACCTCTATAAATTCACTTGAATAATACATGATATTTTTGAACAATTTTTGATGGAATTAATAACTAAAAATATGGAAAATGGATAAAATTCACATGCATCATGGACTGCACCAGATTAACTGAGTATCTTTAGTAGAGCAACTAATATTTTAAATCAGGCTTAGGCAATAATTCCCATATATAAAGCTTACAATGAAGTTTTGGATAAAAACACATCCTGGAAATTTTTTCTCAAAAAGGAAAAGGTAGAGAGCAGTACAAAAAATGTTGCTGGTTCAGAAATTAACCTACAGGGAGGTGTCACTGGGTTGTCTGGCCTGTAGGGAGGTAACCTAAAATTAGTTATTTGTAGTTGAGAGGAAAGTACCAGTGAGGTTCCTCATTTATCATTCTTTTCTAGGACTATTCTTTCTTATGCTATTTTCAGTAATAAACAGACTCAAGTATATCAGAATGAAATTTGTATAAGGAACCAAGTTGGGTATCTTTAACCTAAAAAAAAAAAAAATTGTATCAATTTATCCTGCTTCTGTTACTCCAAACTCATGCATGCAGGGGTTAAAACAGTAAATCCTACTGTAAACTCAAGATTTCAGACATTTTACAGCAGAAGACGACAGGCGCTGCCAGGTCACCTTGCACGGCATGATAAGGCTGTTAGAAATGAAATGTAATTCTAGAACGCATTAGGCAAAGTGTTTTCTTAATGCCGTTGTACAAAGCGTGGAAAGACTTTATCTAAGTAGCACATGCAGTTCTAAGCGTTTGTACTCAAGAAAGACCGAATAAATGGGCATAGATGGAGATAGTGTCTGAATGACTGTATTATGAGAGATGGTTTATTTTTCTCACCAAAACAAAGGGGCTGTCTAAACTGTGTAGGTAAAGTAGAGGGCAAAAATTAAGGAGACAAAAGAACTGAGAGAGACCAACAGTGGCATTGGACCAAGGACCAAATATGTGAGCTGTCTGTGAATAAACTGAGATGGAAATAAGAAGGCCAGTGAAATCAGCAGCAGAGCAGTGTGATATTCTGGGGCAGTTTGCTTATGAAAAAGCAAGACAGGAAACTGTAAGTGGTTTAAAAAAGGAAAATGGTAATAATGTGTCTATGCCAAAATTCATCATTGCTTTTAATACTGATGATGGAGGGCTGCATAATAATGCTGGAGATGGTTGATTCCCAGAATTCCCAGATGTCCTGTGTTGACTAAAAATTTTCACATAGCTTTTTTTAATCTGTTTTTACTTTGCTCTCCTTAGACTTTTGTTTTATGCTTCCTGAGAAGCAATACTCATTTTAAAAGCCAAAAAGGCAAGGTAATCTTCAGTTCTTAGCAGCTGGCATGCGAGAAATTCATCCTCATGATGGAAAGCTTAAGCTCTGTGAGCATGATCAGCCATCTCTAAAAACCAGCAGCACTTCTGGATTGTCCATTTCTTCCAAATTAGTGTAGTAATCAGCAAATCTGACCTCCCTAAAGTGATGTTCAAAGACTGTATTATGTAATTTGGTCTACAAAACATTATTCATCTTGGAAACCATGTTCTAGGAGGCACTTGATCTTCATTCACTGCTCATAAAAAAGGCAAAAATGTTTTTAGTTTGAGATGTTCTGAATTTTTCTGTTTGTTTTCTATGTTATTCTTGTAAGTATTTCTGTTCCGCAACCAAGAAAAGCAAGAGGAAAAGACTGACATATTTTGACTACTGAACTGTTTTTTTCCCAGTAATATTTGTTATACTGTGGAAGTAGTTGAGAACTTCTTTTCTCCGCTACTTACTGTTTTGTTTGGCTAACACATTTAACACTTGGGGCTACTAGGAGTCCCACTAGTGCTGGAAGGGACAGTCAACTGGAAAGTTATATGTGTGAGAAATAAAAAGGATCCCCATTTGCTGATTTCCCCCAGGGTCTTTTCAGACATTCCGGTACATCTCTAGCACTCCTTTCATTTTCTCTCGTTTGGCTGAAACCTCAAAGCAGAGATGGAAGGTTCATGTAGTCTTAATAACCTTTTTAAAGGAGTTTTTTCCAGCTCTAAATAAGTTAATTGTAAGGGTGCATGCAGTAGCAGCATTGCTAGCATTTCCATTGTGCAACTACATTATGCTGAAAACCATAACTCCTCCTGTGTTTTTTTGTTACAATGAACCTACAGTTCTGCCAAAGAAAATTCTTAACTACCCAAGAATGTTATTTAGGTGGCGCTGCTAAAGCCTTCCTGTTGCTTTTGCAGTGGCATGTCATGCTGCAATTCTCCACCTCCAGCTCTTGTAGGCTGATGGGTTCATCGAGGATATTCAGTACCTCAGGGTCCCATTTTCTGTTCCATTTTACTTTGTGCGCTAAGTAGGTTGTTACTGGACCAGTGCCTGCACCTTCAGTCTAGACTTCAGCTTCATTAGTAAGAAATTAATAAGGTTTACACTTGGAAATTTCCCACCCTCTCTTTCTTTGGAGGGTAATCATCTCTCTCCTAAAAAGCAGTTTCTTTGTTCATGTTGCTTTATCTGATATTGTTAAACTTAGCTTTCCCAAACATTTCTAGTATGTTTACACATTTTTTACTTTGTCCTACATCAGTTCAACGGCTTTTCCTAATTACTGCCATTGTAATTTGGATAGCTGAGATTTTTGACACACTGCTAGCTGCTAAGCAATTTTAACAAAGTTTTGGAAACATTGCTGTAAACAGATATGAAAACCCTCAGTTAGCAGAGGCTGAGGTTCTTTATCTCTGGGATGCTGATTATTCTCCTGATGGAGAAGTAAGCACTGAAAATCACTAGTGGGTCTGGACAATCTGGTAGTCCAAATTCACTTTGTAGTTCACTTCCATTGCAAACTTATCATCAACTGTTATGCTGTATATATATCAAAACTGAGAGTTGCATTGATTCTGCTTTAATCTTAGTATAATGACCTGATTTATGCCTTCCTAGAAGAGCAATTTTTGCTTTGTAAGATCCATTTATTTTTGTTATTTGCTTTTCAAAAGAATGAAAGAAAAAAAATCCTAGAAAAATCTATATATTTTAAGATCCTAAGGTACTCAGTTTTCCAACAGATGTTAAAATTCGCTATGTCTACTACTGATTGCCCAAGGGAGAAGGACAGTAGTAAGTAATGAGATCTACTTCCTCTTTTTTTTCTGTTTTTGCCCAGGTTTGTAACAGATTTGTTAGACCAACATGACTTTTAGTTCATGTAAGGGCTCACTGTCATTGTTCTGATGCTTAGGGACTTCTCGGTGACCGAGGGCCTCCAGGGCCAGCAGGCCCCAAAGGACTTGAGGTAAGATGGAAAAAAAAAATCTAATCAACAGATTGCTTTTAAAGAAAAGGCTGAGAGAGATTGTTAGATGATAATGGTAGGTACTAATGGTGTTGTCATCCAAGATTTCACATTTATTGCATTTTGGCAAATGTATCGTTTGCCAAAACTCTACAAGCTAGACCTTTTAGCAGTGCTATGAGGCTTTATTTCCATGGTCTTGGTGGAATCCCAGGGAATTCAGGTCCAGTCTTCTACAAGGTTTTTAGTTTAAGTGTGGTTGGGGTAGGAATGGGAGAAAAGTGTGTGTGAACTTAATTACAATATCCTAGCTCTACTTAATAAATCCAAATGGGGAGGAAAGCAACTTTTCAGCTTGGAAGTTTATTAAATATTCCTATTTTATCAGCATAAAAAAATCATGCCTCGTGCTAAAATAATTTAAAAAATCATTTAATCAGTGAATCTGAGGATATGCTTAACTGTGGTCTTTTGTGACAGATTTTGAGCGATTAAAGGCTAACAGTGTCAAAATGATCCGTTTAGTTAGAAGCCAAGAAGCTGGGCTTTCTCAATTACTGTTTCATATTGCTTGTAATTGAAAAGGTTGCGTGCTGCTTCCCCCCAAAGCCAAAGCAAATCTTCTCTATTGAGAGAGGTCAGTGAGCTGTGAAATGATCCCAGCGTGACATCCTGACATGGGATTGATACATCCCTGTGCATCTGGACAACTTTATAGGGAGTCTACCCTGAAGAGTTGACACTGCAGCTCCCTGTCGTGGATAATTATATCAGTGCGTGCTACAGTCTAGGCACAGTGTCTCCTTTCTTCTCTTTCAAAATTCTGAAAACTATGCTGCTGGGAATAACAGCCTGACACCCCCCACACATCTCCATCCCTTGGAATGGGTGAAACAGCTTGGCTGATTTGGAGGCCATGCCATAGCCACGGAAAGGGAAAAAGCAGGAATGTGCCTTTGCTCGTATAGTCCTCTGGTGTCAAATGCTGCTAGAAGGGAAGCAACCATAGGAAAGAGAGAGGATGGCCATTGTTGCAGAGTCTCCCCCTGCTCAAAATGGAAAGTTTTTTAATTAAAAAATGGATATCGGCTGTTTCACATTGTTTCTGGCTTGTAGTTGCATAGGGCATGACTTTTGAGCCAGTTATTTTAACTGAGGTCAGAATACTTTAAGTCTGAGAGAAACATTGAGATAAAGACCCGCAAATGCATATATGAACCCAACACAGGACGACATATATATAAAAATAGTCTCTGCAGATTTTCTGTAAAAGTTGGACTTGATATCAAAGTTACTGAAGTCCTGATTTCTTATAGGGAGAAGTAGGACCAGTTGGACCTATTGGAGGAATTGGACCAAGAGTAAGTATAATTAATTTTGTTACTGCACACTCTTCTTCAGGAACTGAAGAGCTTTTCTTTTGGAGGAAAACGTTACTGTGAAAAGTCACTATTAAAATGGCACCTTTTACATAAATGTATCTGTTTTTGAAGCCTGTCCTGTAATGAGAGCAGGAAGGAGAAATTGTTTTCCATTGGAAATGGGATGAAACTCCCAGGAATTGGGATGAAACCACTACCACTGTTCACAAAATAAAAACTTTGGAAAGGAAAAAGATTCAGTTACAAAGTGGTCATGTTTCTGAGACAGAAGAAACCATAGTGCCTGTCCTATGACTGAACCAGGTGATATTATCAGAATACATAGAAAGGGAAAGGGAGCATGAGACTCAGCTCAGAGAGCAATATAAAGGGCTGCTGTTTTAAGAAATCATTCTCTAATTATAAATTAATCTAATAGCTTCTGAAAGTAGTAAAATTAGAATGTCTCGAAACCATTTGTATTGAAACATTTTAGAAGATTACTTCACTTGTCTATTTTTGCAACTAAACAATTCTACTGCTAAGCATATTTTGAGGGACTTGAAGCTTATTTGTAGAAAAAGTCTGAGTTAAAAGTGAGTAATGATCTATAGTAGTAGCCAGAGGTCTATTACTAACTATACTGAAAGCAATATGAACCTCTGCCTTTACTTGATTTGCTTATGTGAGGAGAATAATTGTCTTGACCTTCATTTTTGGATGACTTCCCATTTCTTACATGGACTTGGGAAAACTTTACCCCCTGTTCCCAGCTCTAGAATAAATGTGTTCCTATGTCATTTTTCCTGCTTGTTAGCTATCTTGTCTATATGTTAGAGCCAATCAAAATTAGGCATTCCCATCCCATTTATATATAACATTAAAAACTTATTTCCAATGTGCATTAGATTAAAAGCTTAAAACAGTTTACTTTTAGCAGAGGCAAATAAAAAAATAGAATTTCAAAACACTTTGTGACTCAGTCCAATATTCAGCTTCATGCCGAAGGCCTGCCAAGAGCCTCATGGAAATTTTTGTGCTGGCTGCCTCATCCCTTGCCTCCTCCTTGAGCAGGGCTTGGTGGCTGGACAGCATCTTCCACATGGTACAACGGCAGTGGGGGAAGAGGAGCTGCAGAGCAGACCCTACTCTCATGTTCTTGTGCATCACCACGCACACAGGCTGCCATCAGTTGGTGTCAAAGTGACCCAAAAAGAAAAAAATCCTGTGTAACCCACCAAACTGAAATATTTTTGATCCCTTTTGGGTCAGTTTGACCCCAGTTAATTTGTTCTTGGTTTTTCTCAATGGGAAATGTGTACATCATCGGCCTGGTGGCTGCTTAGTTTCTCTAAGCTGTTGAAAGAAGAACTGGATACTGATGCTGGATACTGATGTGGCCTATGGGTTACTGTCTGCAGGCTATAGCCTTTCTCATGTTATTTGATATGAAGTACTATGTTTCATATGAAACATAATATGAAGTACTAGTTTTGATATGGTGACTTCATTCAAAGCCTGGTAAATAACATTTATTTTTAGGCCATGTTTTACATTGCAGAGGAAGTAAAGCATATCTGGAGGAAAAGTGACTCCCTAATAGCGAGCCATAAGTTATAGCCATCTAATAGAAGATTCTGGAGAAAAATGTGGATTTTTTTTTGCCTTTGTGCCTCTGAGTGACAACCATATATTTTGCTTGAAATATCTCTTGAAATCTCTTTTGCTTGAAAGATCTTTATAATTTGCTTGAAAGATCTCTTCCATTCATAGTCTCCCACTCTGATTGATGTTGCTATATTTTTTTTCTTGGTAACAATATACTATTACCTGAGTATCATAGAAACAAGATCTGTTAACAACAAAATGCTAACAGGGAGAGCTGGGGTTTAACATAGGTAGAACAAAGAGGAGATGTTGGAGCTGATTCTAGTTAATTGAGAAAGGGCAGTTATTACACCAGCCCCCAAAGGCTAAGGATCAAGTTCTGCTAGTGAGACTCCCTGTTATGCTGGAATTAGACTAAGAGAGAGAGCATGACCTTGCCTTTTATTTGTCTCCCAAATGCATTTTTTAAAGTGAAATTGGAATGTGTTAGATTCTTGGATTACAATTTTTCTCACAGCGTAACTGCCGTAGGAGTTGATACAGATTCTGCTTATTGGGCTAGTATGTGCTACTGTAATCAACAATGTATTTCCAGAGTAAAACTTATAAATTGGCTTCAAACACAGGTATTAACTATTACTAAGTTGTGTCTATTTCTGAGTGTACCTATTTTGATAATTTAGCCATTTATCTTTTAAAAATATTTGAAATACTTCATCTTAATCATTATTTTAGGGAAGGCCAGGGCGGAAAGGTTATGTAGGTGACCCTGGACCGGAAGGGTTAAAGGTAAGTGATGGTTTTATGTATGAAGTGATGTGTTTGAAGTATCAACTGTGTGCACATGTACATATGCCAGAGAGAGATGTGAGTGTACGTGCTCCTGTGTAGTACAAACGTATCTAGTGCTGGTGTTTCTGCTTACTTTAAAAAAAAAAAAAAACACTTTGGAAAAGGGGAAAAAAATCCCCCAATTCAGGGCTAAGAGATGCACATGAGCGGAGTTAGCACCTGATAAAAGCAGAGCTGGCTGCTTGGGGACCCCAGGAGGGCTGGGATTAGGGGTGGTAAGGGAAAGAAGGATGTTCCTGCACTGGTGGGAAGACATGGGGGAGCCACCACTGATATTCTCAGTGCTTAGTTACTGTCTGAGTAGTTCCCAAATCCCTGTTTATCAGGATGCTGGGATTGTAGTCGTACACAAATAATTAATACTGTGCAGAACCCTGGCTTGCAGCATTTTAAGGAGAGCAGACTTTGATCCACCAGTTTCCAGCGCAGGATTTTTGGAAGAGAAAATGATGTGTTAAAATGTCAGTTGAAATGTTGATTTAAAACATCTTTTACCGTCATCAGTATGGAATAAGGCCATTTTGAAATAAAAAAAAAAATGGACATGATAATTGAGTAATTTGTTATTTTTCCCAGTATAGCATTTTGTGGCAAATTTTAAAATACCCATAATATGTACAGGTGACTTACTTTTGAAGCAATTGCAAAGTATCCCAGATAATTTTATTTCCTAAAAGGAAGATTTAAGTAAAGAATATGCCATTTATTTGTAGCATTTGCTGACAATATATTTAGTAAGCCCTTCATAAAAAGCTTTCATTTTTGTGGTCAAGTCTATCATAAACAGAGGAATTAGAGTAATCAGTGCTTCTCATTACAAAATCAAAATTAGCTGCAGATAGATTTTTTTGTTGTTGTTGCATAATTTTACTCTTGAAAGTTTTAATTGGCTGCTGCAATTTGGAAAATAGAGGTTCTTAGGAAAATAGAGAAATTTAATATGTACGTATGAAAGAAATTACATTTCTAATGAACTACATCATCTCTTTTCCCATTTAATAGGGAGAACAAGGAGACCAAGGAAACCTTGGAAAAATTGGTGAAGCAGTAAGCTTGAATTTTCTTTCTAATTTTGTTTTAGCTTTTTTGCTCCTCCCTTCCCCCCCCCCCTTTTTTTAAGTTTATGTTCTTTTCATTCTTTTCAGTGCTAATAATTTGTTGTGGTAGTTGTTGAGGCAGGTGGGCCTTTGAAGCTGAAATATCAGTCTTACCTTTGATCTTTCAGAATCATATGCTATGTTAAAAAAATTGCCAGTTTCAAGTACCTTCCAGAATTAATGATGGATTTTTTTTCCCTATTGAGCTAAGTGAACTTTGCCTGTTGTTGTAAGTATCCAAGTAATGCAAAAGTAAATGAACAAGTGATCCTTTTCTAGTGAAACATTTTAAGAGGCTATACTTGCCCTGATATGTATTTTGCAGATTTGTTCTGTCTGCCCTCTGTAAAATAACAAAGCTCAAGGTGACCTTGAAATGGCATGTAGTCCATCCTCTCCTTCCTAGGCAGGATCAGTTATCATTATCGCTCCTAACAAATATTTGGCTAACTAGTTCTTAAAAAGCTCCAAGGACAAAGGCTCCATGACCTGCTCAGGCAGCCCAGGGCTTTCCTCATTTTTAAGAAGTTTGATACATCAATATTATAATTTTATTCCCTTTCATTCTCTTACTATTTTTTTGGTATTACCCATTGTCTGCCTTTGGCTGATACGCCTGTCGTTGCTGCCTCAAGTGCCAGAAGAGCTATCACTTTTCTGTAATAGCCTTTCCAGGTCAAGTACTGCTAACTATCTGCATGGAAAAATGCAAACGAAAGCTATGCACAAGCAGGGAAGAACCAACAGCTGGAGCCTGAAGCACGATGTTTGGCTGCTTACAGCCTAGTAGGATGGGGAATATGATGAAATGTAAAAACGCAGCATGGTTAGTTGATCAGCAGTCATATTGTCCAGCATCTCTCAGTTCACCCTGCTGACTCTTCATAGTCCCTTTCTGCAGAAATATTTTTGGTATCTTGTCTCATGTGGAAACCAATTAGATTATAAGATGTTCACTGTGCTTGTAAGTTTAAAAGGAAATATACGTTCTAAAACTAGATGAGGGATGTGACTAAGATTGCGCTTTAGTCACTGTTGCTTAACAGAGCCTTACGTGCAGAAGCGTTTCTCTGGCTGCAGAGTCAGCCCTGTTGGAAGGGGAAGGTGGGCAGGTTCAGGTGGTGCTGCTGGCGAAGCAGAGCAGACCTGAGAGGAGCCAGCAGTTATCCTTCACTGCAAGGCTGGCAGCTGCTGCAGGACCAGCAGATCTAATTGGGAAGGTTTTAGTTAAGGTAGTGAGAGGTAACAGGCAGCAGGCAGAGCATATTTACAGTGCTGATGGAACAAAATCTTTTGAAAGTCATGCAGAAGGAAACAATCGCTTTAGTTACTGAGAAAATTGCTCTTGCTTTTGGGATTACAAAAATCTGACTTTGCTGACATGTGCAACTGTATTATATATGCTTAGATCAGTGGTGGATGACAAGTCTTCTAAAAACATGTTGCTTCAACACCTGTCTGTGTTATACAGAGTCAATCCTAGTGTATTGATGACTTAAGAAAATGATCCATTGCTTGATTTTGTGAACTGAACTCATCCGAGCTTGATGCAACTCCCCTCAGGGCTATGTTGCTGTTTCATAATACTAGTAGACAAAAGCACCACAAGTAACTAAGTGCTGGTTAATTCCAATTTCTCCTTGCTTATTCCATTACAGAAATTCAGCTCTTGGTCGTAGGATTTTGAATTAAAAATCAATGACATTTATTGGCATATTGTGGCACAGCACAAATGTGTAACTGTCAGATGCAGCATGTACAGCTGATGTCAAAAGGACAAACTAAAATAAGCAGAGTTCACAAACCCAAATCCTGGAAAAACAATTTTGTGTCTACTTCAAAGATCTGAAAAAGACACATGTCAGCAAACTTTCCCAGTTGCAAATACTTTTTAAAAACAGCAGTAGGGAAACCAAACTGCAATGAGAAGTGGAAGAAAAAACAACAATAAAAAAATCTAAAAAGCATAGAAGACTATGGCCCAGCAAACAATAAGAACAGTATTCAGGCTCCATAACAGGCTGAAAAAGGCAGGATGTGAGGCTATGGGAAGGCAAGAAAATCCTGCAGTGATGCCATGTGCCCAGAGTCCAGCTGTTTTTGGGAATTGTTATCCAGTGTTTTGCAGTCGTAAAGTTTAGCTAGATTGAGCCCCAGGGATGCTTAATTTATGGAGAATGGAAATTGCCACTCCTTTTGCTTGAAGAAAAGATGAAATGGACTTCAGCTGAAGTTTTCAAGATGCTCAGTAGAAGGAGTTCTTTGAACTATTATGAAAAGTCTGGACTCCGGGGATATACAAGCCAGAACTGAAAGTTGTAGGCCTAAAGAAAAGCCAACTGAATAAAACTTTATTTAAAGCGAAGGCTGATGAAGGCAATGGGTCAACATTGCTTTCAACAAGGCTTTCGGAAGAAGGAACAGTGTAAGCTATTCTCAGAAATCTGCTGTTAGAGGTTAACATGAGCTTCTTGAAGAATTTGTCATAGTAATGACAATACTGTCTAGTCAGTGTAGTACTTCCTGCTAGGGAAATTCATCCTAGATGAACGGATATCCTGTCATTGCTGCCAGTTTGTTCTCTTGAGAAGCATAGGGGAAGGGGTTGTCAGACCCAAAGGTTAGTTTTTTCAAGTTATTTTGCCCATTTCTCTCATGACACTTGCAGATAATGCTTTTCATTGGCTGGGGTATGCCATGATACCCCGCAGCCCCAAACCCTCTATGGTTTTACAGGTTAGGATTAATGCTTTAAATCAGTTGACATTCTCTACAGCACTGTGAACAGTGAAGCAGAAGGATAATCTGCTCTGTGTGACGTTTGCTACCTGAGGCGAAGTCAATAGTTAGATGCATAAATGTAAAAAACTTGTGTCCAAATTCAGTTTAGCCAAGATATGATTGAGGGTAATATCTGCTGTCAGAAGATAAACTGTTTTCTTTTCACACATGGCACTGCATAGCAGTTTGTACAACTGTCAGCCAACAGCTGCTTAGATGACCAGGTCTGACACAGAGCCATTTTCTAGTCTGCTCTTGCATTTTTCTAATTGAAACTGCGGTGCCATTAGTGAGCAAATTCAGTGTTGGTGTTTTTACTTGTATTTAAATACACGTGTAAGTTTCATTATATCTGGCTAGCAAAACTGAACTTAGTTTAAGATGTATTTTCTAAAACTTCATTTTATTAATCTTATGAGCTATAAATCTATTTTTCTATGTATGAGCTGGTTAGGAAGTAGCAGCTGACTGTTAAATCATTCACTTTTCTTTGTCCTTCTCTCTTCCATCCTTGTCTTTTACAGTTGTCTTTTTAACATAGGTGACTTGCTTAACTTTCATGGATCCTTAAGTAAATTTTGATCTGGTAAAATCAAATCTAAATGTTGACTCATTTTAGTTTTTTGAATAGAATACTAAAATTTATAAAGCCCTTCAGAAAGGCTGAAGTTGAAGGACTCCTAAGAAACATTTGAGTGGGAATTTTTATGAGCAAGCTGAGATTATGACATTGTTGCATGTTGGAGCTGGGTGGATATAGAATGCACTTTTAGAATACCTTTAAAAAATCTTGGAAAAAATGTTAATATAGCAAGATAGGTTTCTTAAATTTACTTGTAACACCTCATTAAAATAATGTTGAATAAAATTATTTGGAAATGCTGAACTCTAGATGAAATGGTGTTGTATTGGAAATGTTTCTGTTGACGTAGAAGAATGTGTTAGTGTACAGTCTGACAGGTAACTGCTTCCACAGGAATTTTTGGAACCAGTCAAATATTCATTCCTCACCAGGCTTTTTAATGAATTACTCCATAGTCGTGTTTGTGTTAAATATACAATGTGTTTTCAATTACTTAACTTCAGTTAACTTCATTTTCTAACATGAGCATATTCCTTGGCAAGATATTTTGTCTTTTAGGCATGTATTAGATGGAAGATCGGATCTCTGATTCATTTTCCATGTGAATGCTTCTGTCAAAAAGGTTTTTTAGATGCTGTTATCGTCGTGGGAGAATGTCACACAAATCCGTGCATATGAAAGTTTGACTTCATTTTTTTTAATAAGGTTTAGAGCTATGATCATTTTTAAACATTTTAGGTATTTTACTTTTCTTTTGCCTAATGCATTCAATTTGTTTTTTGGAATCCCGTAGTACTCCCCAAAGTATTAGCGGGATGCAGGAACACACTGATTTAAACCTGCTTTGGACTTCACTCATCCTATTACGTAAGAAGGAGAAAGGGTTGAAGCCTCAATCCAGATTGCTTTCTCCAGAGGAACAGCCAATGTCTTGGAAACTTTCTGCTTAATAGCCAACATTTGTCCTCAGTCTGGAAGGCAGGGCAATGTAAGCTAGACCCCCTCACTGCGGTTTTGTCATTCCTTCTCTTTGAGACCAAACCGGAGCATCTTGGGAATACAGAACTTTTGAATCAAACGGGATTTGAGCAGGGGCTCTAGACTAAGTGCATATCTCCTGGTGCAAGGCCCGATTACGCTGCTGTCTAATCAGCACTGTCACTCCTCCACAGAGTGGCATAGGCTGGGAGCTCAGTGCTGGCTCTGTAGAAGGAAATAGGCCTGAGCTGCATCTTGGCTCTGGCTTGTGCCTTCTGTCTTTTCTGGGAGAAGGAAATCGAGGCCTTTTGAAATGCTACCTCCTCAAACCCTTATCTTGATGAGCGAGAGTACAGGGTAGCTCTTTGTCTCGTAGCTTTTTGCCTGGCACTGAGGCCCGCTCTTGGCCACGAGTCATGCTGACAGTGGTGGTAGCTGTCACACACATTAGAGACTCAGTCACAAAGTCCCATCATCCCTGCCGTTGACCTCTGGGCATGACCTTTGTGCTAGTATCACCAGGACCAATCTTTGATTGCTGCCAGGAGACAGCTCAGTACTGACACGTAGTGCACATGCTCTGACACATAATACATCAGTCCAACCGGCATAAAGATGCCTGGTTATCTCTTTAGTCCCTTCCAAAAAGTAGGCTGTGAAAGTCTTGTCAGCCTCAAAGGTAGCTGTCCTGGATAGCTCATTGCTTGTGAGAAGAAAGAAGGGGCAAGGAAACTCTGGGTTGATGCTGTACAGCCAACTCTTCTGGGACAGGTCAAGAAAAGTCACGCAGTTAAGATGTGAAAAGCACTTTTAAGCATGGCATAACCCCCATGGCACAGCATTTACCACTGCCTTTTATTTAAACTATGAGATTTCCCGAGTACAAGTATAAAGCCTTAGCATCTTTGTGCCTGTTTTGCACCAGTGCTTGAAGTTGTACTGCACTGAATTTTTATTGCTAAAGAATTAGAAAAATGTCATTTGTTCAAAGGGAGAAATCTCAGATTGAACTTTTACTGCTATAAATTGTTTCTGATAGAATAAACTACTCATAGACTTGTAAACCAGATAGTAACTACACTAGTAATGGTTAAAAAAAATTCTCATTCAAGTACCACTTTTGTGCTAGTTACGCTAGTGTATTTCTACCTATGTAGAGACAGCAGTGCCAGCACTAGAATTAAGGTTTTATTTGCACAATGTTTTTCAATTTCAATACTTTTTTTTTTTTTTTTTTTTTTGCTTTTTTTAAGGAGCTTCCATGTTTCTGCTATCTCTTGAGAAGTCATACAGTGTACTTGGGGCACCCATTACCTTTTCTTCTGGCTAAAAAAAAAAAAACTAAACAAAAACAAACCAAACAAAACCCCACAAGCACTCTTGTTAGTGTGCTCCGAATATAGATCTAGTAGGGAAATTGAGAATGTTTTCCAGTATTAATTTCCTAGGTTGTGTCCTATCATCATTTCTTGCAAAATGACGATAACCAGATGTGTTTTCCTTAAGCTATGATATATTCAGAATTCGGACTTAAGAGTAAAGCTGATCCTTGCAGTTTTGCATATATTTTTTTTTCCATTCAGAATTGCTGAAGATAATTTCCCAGGGAGAGCTGAAATGAGCTTGTTCTATGCTTTCTTATTCAATGACCACCTGGAAAACCTTTATTAAGCAAGATATTTCAGTAGGAAATGCTTTTAGCCATATCAATCTCAGAGCAGTAATCTTGAAGTAACTGAGGCCACAAAGCCCCCAGCTACCATTGAAAACTGCTAGTATTGAGGGAAAGCTGCTCTGTCAAAGTATCCTTTGCCCTCACTGATTTCACCAAAAAAAAAAAAAAAAAATTCTTGAAGCCTTGTGAGTTCTTTTCCTTGCTGAGATTTACGTTAGAACTTGTGCTTGCTGTCTGGCTGGATAGATGTGTGAACGCCTTCCACAACCCAGAACCCACTTGACCTGCAGTTTTGAAGTTAATCTAGTTCAAATTTGTTTTTCTTTGCCATCGCATTCATCATGTTGTGTGTGGTTCATTCTGTGGAAAAGATCTCAACCAGATTAAGATGTGTCTAAGTGACCAAAAGCCCAACTCATCTGACAAACCCATTCAGTCTGTCAGTGAAGAGCAATGCTGCGTGTGGAGAGCAATGAGCAGGGCAGACAGAGCCTTGGTCGTTTGACCCGGTAGGCAGCAATGACACCATAGGCAGCAGTTCTGCTTTAGGCAGATGCTGGAAAACAGACTCTGTCTTTGATTTGTGCATCTAGGCTCTGTTTCAGAAAGGATCCTGAAGGAGCTCCCTCCCTGGCTTTGAGAATGTGCGGAGTCAAGCGCAGACAATGTCACTTGCGAAGCACTTTCTGAAGTAAAGCTGCTGCTTCATGCTTTTCTAAATCAGGACCTTCCACTATTTACTTTTTTTAAAAATTTACATTGATAATAAGGGGGGTGTTGCATACACTAATATTTTGAAAAGTGTTTTTCTTTGTGCTTCCTATTCTATGCTTGCTGTATCCAGTATAAATTTGTGGGACAGCCTCAAGAGAGTGTTGTTGCATTTATTTTTAAAAGAATTAAAAGGCTCTGAATGCCTGACTTCAAAGGTGTTTGGGGCTACACCACTTCGTTAAAACATCTGATTAAATAGCATTTTTGTTTTGTCTGGCTTTTACCTTTTTTTCCACTGAATTTATGCCCTTAAAGTCTGTGGTCAAACTGAAATGCTGGTGGAACAATTACCATCTTCAGTTGAATGTTCGTGAAGTTTTTAGCGCTGCAGAACACAGCTGTGGCAGACACTAGGCACAGTATAATAGTTAAAGAAGTTTCTTTTTCTACATGTTAGCTTGCCTCATCTGTGTATATAGGTGCAGTGATCACCACGGGCAGGCTGTAAGGCGGGTTAGTTTGTGCAGCCTCCCGTTTTGCACCGAAGAGCTTGCCCAGATAGTCCATTGCTCTCTGTGATGGAAGCCTCACTGCTGCTGGGGAGCTGCCAACCATGAACCAGCGTGGGCATTGCACTAGTAAACTCTGCTTCTTTTCTACACAGGGATCAGCTGGGTTACCTGGAGAGACTGGTCCATCTGGAAGCCTTGGTGAAAAGGTATAATAACACATCTGCCTCTTCAGTAACAAAAATCAGCTTTGAAAATGGTTGGTGAGAGAAAATATTGGCGAGATCATTTGTCTGACCACTGTGACAAAGCTAATATTCTGATAGCTGTTTTGGAGTGTAGGCATCTAATGAGCAGTAACTCAAATACTGTATGTGAAGTCTGCATCTGATTCAAATTATAGTTATCTTATACACTGATTGCTGCTGTATAGTGAAGATATGAAAGTAGAACAGTAGAATTTGGCTATATGCTTTAGTAACTTCGCTGAAATACTACTTAATGTTGAGTAAATAAGACAATATTGTTAGTTTTGCCTTCCCTACATTAACAGTTGTGTTTACTAAAGCAACCTTTGGTGGAGGTAATGTGACCAGGACAGTACAAATAGCTTAAGAGTATTTGACATGGTTTTATTTAGATGAAATATTTTAAAGCCAAAAAGCAGGAAACTATTATTGGACTACACGTCAGCTTCAAACATACTTGTCAGAATGATCCAGCACCATTTACATTTCTACCCTTCTGGGATAAATTATTTTGTCTAAACTGGTGGCTGTTATTTAAAGAGGTGTTACAGGGGGAGGTTGGGAGAAGTCTACAGAGTGACTTACTAAACTTCCATGAAAATCTGGTGATAATTTTACTGTTGGTTTATGTAATATTTGAAAGGAAGTATGTCAGTAAAAAGCACTGCTTTTTAAAATTTAAATTGAGACATATCTTGTATGGTTTTAATTATAACATCATCTTAGAATTCAACATAAAAAAAATTCTTGTTCTTCATAATTACATTCTGCCCAGCAAGTGTTACCTTGGAATACTGTTTCTAGTCTAACCGGATGAATCAATCTGTCAAAAAATGGAAGTAAGATGGTACATTGTTTTCACTACTGTCCTGTTTCTGCACAATTTATTATCTTACACTTCTGTATTTAATCCCATAAAAGAATAAATATACTATGTGGATTTAAGTGGCAGATGTACTTTGCGCATTATTTTAAGGAAATGTGTCCTTACATATGTAACATAATGTGTGATATGTGTCATTATCACTCATGTGTGTAGTATCTTCTATAAAAGCGTAATTTTTGTCTTGGGGATAATCTACAACCAGTCCTGATGCATGGACTGAATGTTATATGAATAAAAGATACAGATGTGGGACAAGAAAGAGTCCCTTCCTACTGCATCTACTCTAATTGCTTCCACTGCTGCTGCGGGGTTGGCCTTGCTTATATATCTGTATTCTTAGTGGCACACATTAAAGAAATGAGGGAGGAGAAGGAAAATACTTTAGTTTTTGCTTGTTTGCTGTGCTTATAAGTGAGAGGTGTGTGAATTAAAAAACATAAATAACTAAATATGGTGCACCCAATGGAGAGAAGGGAACTGCTAGCCACAGTTTGCAGACTGATGTAGTAGCACATCGCTCTTCTGTTTTTCTAGGGAAAGGGAAAGACAGAAAGACTCGGTTGTATTTCTTTTCAAAATAGGGGTAGACTTCTAGAGAAAGGAGTGCATCAATTCCAGAACAGTGGACACGACCTGTGCACTGCTCCTGAAGGGCAGTGTCTGAGTTGCCTCTATTCCCCATCCTAGATTCTCTTGCCCTGAAGCAACTATGTTATGTACTACAAGAAATGGATCCCTTTGACAACTGAGTCCACTGTACTGAAACCCTAATAAAAATCCTCTTGACCATTGTGATATTGTTGGTGCAGATTAACCTTGTTAGTCAGATATGCTTGGAACTATTGAAATGGAATGAGTCAGTGAATGAGCACTCATTATTGTTTTCTTTTTAATTTTTCATTAAAGGGAGAGAGAGGCAGTCCAGGACCAATAGGTCCTCCTGGAGAGAAAGGTGCCATGGTAAGTCATAAGTAAAGTGAAATCCATATTTATAATACATACAAAAGCAATTTGCTTTCCAAATGGGTAATAAATTATCACCCTGACTGCAAGCCTTATGGAGAAGAATAGTATTTATCATGCATTATTTCAAGAAAGTTCCTTTTAACAGCTTTATCACTTTGTAGATTTAGCATTACAAATGTTTGGCTGAATGAAGCAACAGAACAACTGCATTTTTAAGAATGGCTTTCAGGTGGTATGGAATCTACAGATCTAAGCACAGTGAATTGAAAGGAGAGATTAAGAAATGCATGAAAATAACATCTGTGTTTTGCTCTGTATAATGGCGTAATAGAAACCATTTTAGTAGTCAGGTGACTAGAGTGATCCCTTGCACTCCTGCACAGCAATACATGGAGAGCCCCTAGCACCACTCCAGTGGGAGAACTGGCTGCCGGGGAGCACCGCTTGTCCTAAATGAGGATGCGATGTTTCATGCGGCATTTGGCAGCCCGGAGGCCCACATGTGCAGTGGCACATGAGCGTTACAAACAACTTGGCTCCGTTTCACTGGCGAGGTTCAGAGCCTGACCTCAGCAGCAAGGACAGGCCTTCCTGTGGCAGCCCCACGTTAGGCAGATTGTTGGGGCACAGGAGTAGGAAGCCACGCAGCCCGCTGCTATGGTCACTTTGAACTTCTCCAGGAGGTGTGGTTAGCATTTGATTGTGTGTCTTGTGGTGAGCCCGGTGGTGGCTTCAGAATGTAGACAGGATGCTGACAGGTTTTGTCTGCTTACAAGGAGATCAGAGGGATCTTTTCAGAGGGCTTCCTTTATTGAAAGGAATATTCATCTATTTTTCAGTGTCAAAACAATGTTAATGATGGGACTCTAGGCTCATACCATGAGTGCGCCAAATGCTAGTTGCAGAGATTGGTTTGAGATGATCTTTTATTTAACCTTGAAGTCAGTGTAGAGTTGACGTGCCACCCAGTTGATGTGCTCTTTACCCATTGACCTAGCGTTAGGTGCTGTGTCCTGTTATGTGGCACCAATACAGCAGGCAGCAATGATCACGTGCAGAGATCACAGATGTTGGTCTGAGTGCTGCAGTGCAGCAGGTTCTTTGTTCTGTTCATATATGGAAATGGACATTATTATTGAATGCCTGCGGCATTTACCCTTTGCACATCCATTGCCAAGGAAGAGACTAAAGCACCCTCAGGCTGCAGACCAAACCTAATGAGCCATGCCTCGGAGAGGATGATTTTCTGAAGCACTTCTTCCTTCATTAAACATTTCTGATCGGAATTTATCTTCAATCACTGCTTTTGATCCAGGGGAAAAAAATCATCAGAGCTGAATAAAGGAGGTTTTATTAATATAGGATCTGATCTTATAAATTACATTTTAGCAACCAGCAGGCATGTTTGTTGCCACAAGCAAATCCACTTAAGTCATAGTAGTTAGAGCCATACTCAGTAGCAAGTGTTCCTATCTCATGGATAGGAGCTGTGCTTGGCATTTTGTCTTGACTAGCCCTGCTTTAAAATGAGATGTTCACACCACTGTCGTGATGATTTTGGTCGTGGTCAACAAACTACAGGATGCACCAGCACACTTAACTAACTCATTGAGTATAAATCTACCACTGAATTGAACAGGAAGCGTTATTCTAGGCTGCTGGTTCTGATGATGGTTTTCCTCCCCTCCGCCTTGCCTCCAAGCATTACTTCTAGGAGCAAGTAGAACTTTGAGTATTTTGGATGTTTGCAAGACCTTAATTGTCAGGAGAAGCTCATGCTCAGATCTTATGGTGCTAAACAGTATACATTTTACGAAACCTCTCAAGATTATATTGCTAGTTCTGGGCGGATGACTTGAAAAATAATAAATTCATTTAGATTGTAGTAGCCTTTTTCTTCCAGTAAATTCTCTCTTGACTAGTACAAAAACTACTTTTGTAAACTCTGCCTGCCTATTTGTTATTAAAGGACCTTATGAACTTGTCTGTTTTGTGATATATCCAAACTAATGTGTGTTTTCTAATTTTTTTTTTAAGATTAAGCATTTTATTGGCATATCTGGAGTTTCATGCAATTGATTGGATTTGTTGTTGTTGTTAACTTTGTTCATAATAATTTTAATTAAAAAAAAAGTCTGTTTGTTTTTTTTGGTATTTATTTCAATTCTAGGGCTATCCAGGACCTCCAGGCAGCCCTGGACCTGTGGGACCAGAAGGACTGCCTGTAAGTAGAGAGAAACGCTTTGATTTGACCTAAAATGTATGATTAAAAAAAAAAAAAGTTTATTTACTGTGCTGAAGTTAAGAATGCCTGCTGATTTGTACTGCAGCCAGTAAAGCTGTCATGACCCACCCAAACATAAAGTCTGTTCACCTGCTCTTTATTGGGAGGAACCATGAGAGACATTAAAATTAATTACATCACCTACTCACCCATTTAAAAATTACTCATTGAGATAAGTAGTGAAGTAGATGGTTTTTTGGAAATGATTTATTAGTGCACAATACTACACAACAATTTTATTTTTAAATTTGTTGATGCTTAATAATAATCTGCATGTATTCATTTAATGTTTAGTTTAATTATTAATCAAAAAGACATTAATTTCCTGATTTGGTGTAAAAATATGTTATAATTTCACTGTAGGTCATTCTTAGAGACAAAACCCAATTCTTCTATAACAATTTTTTATATATGTATCTCTCTCTATATTTTTTAATCTAATGTTGATGAAATATAAGAAACCTTTGATAATTTCGGAATATTGGAAAGAACAAATATAGCCAACAATCATATCATGATTTCTTCTTCAGAATAAAGTTGCAAGGGGGCTGCAATAAATAATAAGTTTATTTGGCACATAGGGACCTTCCGGGCCAGCGGGACCACCTGGACCACAGGGACCTAAGGGAAGAAGAGTAAGTCGTGTGTTATTTATAACTGCCACTGGACTGTTGCAGTGTTGTATGAGATTTTTTGTTTATCAACACTTCATTTATTTCTTTGGAGAAAAAAAAAATGAAAATCTCTAGGGCATGGTTGAGAGAGAGAGAGAAAAAAGCAAAGGCAGGTAAATCACCCAAATGAAGATTGTGTTCCAGCATCTCAAACCTCCAATAAGACTGTCATTTGTATTTCCTGTATGTTTTCAGTGAAACATGAAGCCATTTTTTTATTGTATACAAAAAAAAAAGAAAAAAAAATCCCAAAAGTCAGGTAAGACAATGAGGAGCCCATGCTTATGAAAATCCGATGGTTTTTCTTCAGTTTCATTAAAGATAGATGCTTAAAAAGCATATATAATGTACAACCTATCTTTTTAAAATATAAGATTGTGATTAGTAGATTTCTTGTAACGTGAAATTTGTTAGCCACTTATTCCCTAATATTTTTATTCTCATGATTACTAAAATATTTAATAAGTCATTGAGGGAAAAAAAAATTTTTAGTAAATTTATAATATACTTAGTGACTTAGCAGTAGAAGTTTATTCATAAAGGATTTTCACATCGGTTTTCATGCTTTAGTATATTTTTCTCCATCTTTAGAAGAAATCTGTTACAGTTTGCCTCTTTGTTCATGGGGATCATCTGCAAAATACAGCATATGAAATGTATAATTTCTACTAAAAATTTGGAATAGTTATACTAACTTGTATTAGGAAGGGATTCCCACTGTCAATGCTAAGTGTTTGGAGGAATTTTTGTTTAATTGCAGACATAGAATATAGTTTATGTCAGCTTTTAATTCAGTCAAATAGGTGAGGCAGTTTTGAAAATATATCTGTATAGGATATATTTGTGCTTTTTGTGCTATCCTCAAATACCTGTCTACAATAGGAGATTTGTTTGAGTTTGGTTTTCAGGGTTAAGGAAGTTATCCTAAGACATAGAAAAGGGCATACTAAGTATCTAAAAACAGTGATCATTCTTCTCTTACAATAGATATATATATATATTTATATATTTAACTTTGGGGGAAAAAGAAAAAGTAAACTTAGTGCAGAAAAAAGAGCAGGTGACGTGAGAAATGGTGAACATAAGGCTTTGGAATATATTTTCGATTTATTTGGTCCAGCTGAATAACTAAACATATCCTTGTTAATGTTTGTTCTTTAGTCTAATGCATAATTAAAATTTAACCCCTCGTTTGCTATATTTCACACACGTCATCTATCCACTATCTATGTCCAGCCAACTGGACATAGTTGGTCAAGTCCTGCTTGACAGTCAAAACTGAAGTGCAGATGCGTTTATTTATGAAATATATCTGCTAAAATGCAGAAAATCATTAACAGGATAGAGAGGACATGAATCCAACCTCACTTCCAGGCACGTGGAACCGCACTGGTGTGCGCAGAGTTGGACTACTCGGAACTAGCGAGAGAAGGAGAGTCCAACCCCGGCAGCAGCTAGCAGAGAAGTGGCTCCTGAGGCGCTGGGAAGGCCTTTATACAAATAAGTACGCTTGGTGGAGGAAGGCTCTAGGAGCTCTGTGTTCATACTAAACTAATACCGAAGTGGCCGTCTCTGCCAGGAGAGAGAATCTCGGCTTTTCTTTGGAGATGGGGGAGGGAAAACAGCCCTTTTACTTCACATGCAACTTTGAAGATGCAAATCAGAACAGTGAAATGCAAACCAGTTGCGGGGCTGAAGGAAAGGAGCAATTTGGCTCCACCTTTTCATCAATGACCTGGCTCAGCAAAGCAGCCGGGTACACTTAGCTGTCTGTGAGTTCAGTAGTAGCATTTTCGAGGTGAAATACATGCCAAAGTGTTTTGCTGACTTAGGAAGCCAATGGCATCTGGATGAGGAGGGTATGTATGCACCATTTGCAATGCAAAATGCTTTTGTTCAGGCTTCATCTAGAAAAAAAAACCTCTTGGACTATGTCTGTCCACAGGAGGTAGTGAATGGTTGTTCACCTAGGGAATGTTGTGAGGTAGAAGGTCAGCTGAAAAATAATTCAGTATAATTTGCTAGTCATCCCTGAGATGAGGAGTGAGCTGCTACTAGTTGTACCTTGTACTTCCTTTGAACTTGTCATTCCCCTAAAACACCCTCTCTGATCCCTCCCTCCTGCCAGTTCATCTGCCAGCATCTCTGGAGCCAGAGGCCAAGCAACTGCTCCAAGTGTGGCTTCTGCCTGCTCTCCTTCTGCCCAGCAGCGCCTGTTATCTGCTGTTCTTTTAATGGGGGAAGTTCTATTTTAATTCAGATTCCCTTTTGAAAGCAGGAGGTAACATTTTATTTAAGGGCTGTCACCTCTGCCAACTGAGCCCGGAATTTTTCAGGGAGCTTCTCTGTGATTTTGGCAGCTCATTGGAGAATATGGTGCTTATGATTAAAGATCACTCATCCCAGACATCCCAAGCTCTGCAGAAGTACCTATCTGGAGCTGCAGTTTAGGTCTTTGCCTCCATCCTGCATCACTGGGAGGCATCTCAGAGCAGTCCCAGGTCTTCAGGCTCTGCAGCTGGACTCCGATTGAAGCTGTTGAGGATTGTGCATATTCACAGCATCAAAATCTCAGGCTTAAAGTGGAATCTAGTGAAAGGAAAATATCTGGGGACCCTGGAAAACCAGGGTCTGTCATCACTGGATTCAGAATGAGAACAGTGTCAGAACACTGAGCTCTGCATGGCAGGCCTCAAATACTCATACCACAGTCGCATATGGAAGATAAATAAAAGCATATGGAAATTCCATTTCATTATGACCCGAACCAAGAACGTATCCCATCTTCACAGCTGGAATCTGCAGGAAGCCTTACGAACACTGACTGTTTCTGTCACATAGTGGAATTTCTTCATCTCATAAATTCTGGCCTTTTCAGCAACCAGTTTGTATCCAAGATTACCCAGCAGACTCCTTGGGCTTGAGAGTATCCAGCTGCTCAGTCCGCAGTGTATGGGGGAGCTCTGGCCAGCTGAAGAAGGCAGATTGCCGGGGAGCCTACGGAGTATCTTGCTGTTGGGGAATTCGGGGAGTCTGGTGCTAGCACAGGCCTTCCTCTGCTTGTGCTCAAAACTTGATGCACTTAAACTTAAAGCACATGGAAAGCTGGGTCCTTTTATGACCCACATTTTATTTTTTGCTGTTTAATATCATGAAAGCGCAGAGGAAAACTGTTGTTTTGTAGATACTTCAAAGGCAGAATGACACTCTGGGAGGTGGGAATAGTTGTGTCTAAAGAGAGCAATTTCTCCCCAAGAGCAGCTGAAACATTTGTGGGAAGGATATGCCGTGAGCAGTGCTGGCAGCCCTGAAGCTGATCTTACGTGTTTTGTTGTTGCTGCGATTTTATATTCTAACGTATGGAGAAAACTGGAATAGTGAGCAGTGGCACTGCTTTTTGCTATGCTGTAATTTCTGATTAATAAACGATTGCTTTTAATTTGAGGAGAAGATATAGAGTATCATTCGATTCACTTCACAGTTGAGACCTAAGCAAAACTCTCAATGGTTGCTTGGACTCTTAGCAGGCAATTGTTCAGAGTTTTAAAGCTTAGAAAATAATTATTTTTCTGCGTTTGTTTTCATAAAATGTAGTTCATGAAATTCAATCTTGAAAATACAGATAAGTGGCAAAATAAAATGCCGTAAAATTGGGATCAGGCAACAGCAGCCCGTAAAGTTATTCCGTCTTCATTGGTGTCCATATTGGTCTGAGACACCTCAACTGCATAAGGACATTAGTAAGTGCTGGATGTGTGCGTCTACCTAAATTGTTCAAAGGAAGTAAGATTAAAATGAATGTAACTTCCCAATATTCTTCCATGTCAACCATCAGAAAAGCGAAGTAGCTTTACAGTGCACTTACGTGGTTATGTCATTTCATTCTTTTTAGATTTAACAGGGAGGATAAGAAAGAAAAGAGAGTTGATTGATGCTGTTTACCTTTTTAGATGAACTTTTTCTCAATTTATTATCTTCAAATCTTCAACACAGTGCATTCCATTTTAGAGATAAAGCTCACCCCCATACCAAAAGAAAAAGTAGTAGCAATTGTTTGGCAGCTCTATTCCTCAACTCTGTTGCAACCTGTACTAAATAACAGCAGGCAAATCATGTACATCTCTCATTCTATACTAGCTATAGTAGGAAAAGATCCAAGTCCAAATAATCTGTGCCAATAATGAGTCACACAAGTATTTATAGGTATGTTTTAGCGTGCTTTTGTTAGAACATTAAATTGCCTTTTCCTTGGATTCCTGCACTCTGCTCTGTGCCTGGCTAAAGGTGGGCTACAGGAAGACATTCTCCAGAGCCAAAAGTTTACTTTGTTTTCATTTCCAAATTACACTGTGAGAGTTTGGTGTGTTGAACGGTAGGCCTTTTCACTTCATTACTTCTGATCAAATCAATTGTCATTCTTTTCCAAAAGACTGAATGGTTGATATTAGATACACTGAAGTTACAGGGTCTATAGAACTTGCAGAAAGTTTTTGATGCATTTAATATCGCACAGACTGAGAAGCTTATTCAGTGTCCCAACTTGACTGTTTCTCAGACTGTGGGTTGTGACCCTCTTTATGATTAAAATGAAGTCCAACAGTGTTGGATGAATTTATCTCTTAATATTTTTAATGGAAAAAAAAAGATAAAACCTAGAAATAAATGTATTTATTCTACAAAGCTATAGAATCAATATGTGTCTTTTTCCTCCATCATTATTTCGTCTTGAGATTCTATCCACCGTGGGGCAGGATGCACAAAGACAAGTGGTGGGCTGTGTGTCTAAAAAGTTAAAACTATCCTGCACTTTCTTCACCCATCATTCTGAATTTCCACCCTCCTGTTGTTCCTCTACTATTTGTTCTCGGAGAAGTTTCACCTGAAATCAATATCAAATTGTGCAACGTGAAAGTAAGACTGCTTGGTCTGCCTGGAATTTCCATCGCAACATGCTTTTTGTGCATTATAGATACCAGTTAAAGAAAAAGTGCAGAGAGGTAACCTGGCATTAATTTTGTCAAAATGTTTAGTTTTCTTCTCAGTTATGCTGTTGATAATTCAATGCTCCAACTTGTACAGTTATCTAATGTAATCTGAGACCCAGTCATGTAATTGTTATGTAGGCCTACCTCACCTTTGAAAATGATGGCAATTTTTTGCATCTGATCTGCAATTGCACTGAAGTTCAATGGGAGTTTTTGCACAGACTTCAGTAGTTTTTGAATGGGCACTTTCTCAACAGCAGCCCTGCAGCAACTAGGAATGTGTTCTTTTGCACCATCTTTTCTCCTCTAGGTTGAAAACTTGCTTGTAAATAGTCAGTCCTGGTCCAGACCCAAAGGAGAAAGGTGGCCTGGATAACACAAGGATCGTCTCACAGAAGCCTTGTCCAAAGCTATTGAGGTATCAGAAATAGTCAGGCAGCTTTCCCTGCCCATTCATTTTCCCTATCCTATAGTTTCTGTGTTTACTACGGCTGGCCAGAAGCAGAAGTGCTGAAATGCTGACCGATAACCTACTCATGAGATATTTCTGACTCTACCAGAGAATGTAATTTTTTATCAGCTCACAGGAAAGGTCTTTTTGTAAGAGATTTCCATTTCAGAAGCAAAGCCTGAATCATTCTGGCTATAAATTCTTCCTGAGTTACCAATCAACCTTTTCTTTCACTGAAATTCCAAAGTGAGAGAGTGCTTGTCATGTTTGATACAGGTTTTGATGTGCTGCAGTAAATTCAAGAGAGAATAAAATGTGGGGTTTGGCAAAGAGTTAAGAGAGACATAGAAGTCACGGGTATTTTGGGGGAAAAAGTAAATAAAATCAGAGGTGCTTTTTGAGGAAAAAATAAATAAAATCAGAGGTGTTTCCAGCCAAGTTTTTACAAAAACCCTATTATTATCTCTTTGAACAGTTTTACAACTCTGGAAATCAGACATGGTTGCCTGCCTGACACTATAAACCATGACCCATGGTGTAGGGCACTCTACATCATAGAGATGTGCTTTGAAAATACATGCTCTGGGTATGTGGTCGCAACGTACTAGTTCCCTCTGATGGATTAATGCTATCTTATCATGGCCTGGATGCTGCCAGAAGAGCTGGGGGATCTCATCTATGTATCTCATCTATGTTCTCTCCTGTAAAGACCTAGCACCACCATCTTGATGTTCACCTAGTTCTCCCTTTAAAACTGTCATTCATTTTAGATTTTTGAGTAGCCAGGTAGTTGCTGTGTTTACAATTACAGAAATATAAAGTAATAGTTTATTTTTTCACATATTAGTTATAAAATATCAATTTACAATAGACATTTTTTAGCAACTGTATTACAACAGCTTTAGCCTAGTGATACAGCAATCTGAGACCATCGTTTATTTTTTCACATATTGGTTATAAAATGTCAATTTACAATAGACATTTTAGCAACTGTATTACAACAGCTTTTGCCTAGTGATACAGCAATCTGAGACCATAAATTGGTTTTATTTTTTCTTCACACTGATAAGACATTGATTACTAATCAGTGAACTTAATCTGCCTGTTTTAAGGTCCTAGTGGCAAGCTGTTTTTTGCATATACATTTTTTAATTTGTATAAAATAAAATATTTCATATAACCAATGCTGATGTAGATACTTCTCTAAATGTTCATGTGAATATGTCTGTTGCATACATACAAAGTGAATGGGAGTGGAAAATATTTGCTTGCAAACTGTGTCCAACAGAGACCCCAAACATCTTGTTTAAATATTTAAAAAAAAAAAAAAGCTTTCTTCCTAAGCTCATATTACAGCAAGATGGAAAACGATTTTACAATCTTTGATGCTTTATTTCACACTTAACATACAATGAAAATTGATTTTTTCAGGCTGTGGATTTTCATAGTGCATGCTAACAAAATATGTTGTTTCCCTTTCCTAAGGTTTATGTTGTTTCTGTCCTGTTGATAACCAAAAATAATGCAGAATTAATACTCCAAGTCATTTGTTTAATACTCAGGGGCCAAGAGGTCCAGATGGTCCTTCAGGAGAAGTAGGGACACAAGGCATTAAGGTAAGTGTGTTGCTCAGTACACAGAACGTGTAGCTCGTGACAGGCATGACAGGAAAATGAAGTATGTCAGGAGGCATAAGCTCCCATTTAACGCAAGAGGAGGCTAGCAAACTTCTGCCTACTTAAAGTGCTTCCTTATTATGATATATGCACATCTAAACCTCAGTCTGCAATTTCTGCACCACTGCCATGTATTTAAGGTGACAGCACATGCACATTGTGCAGCTTCTCTAGCAAATGGACATTGAGCTCACACATTGTTGATTATTTGTCAGGGAGAAAGAGGACATCCGGGAAAGAAAGGACTCCCTGGCCTCATTGTAAGTATCAGAGCCAGTCTTTGTGTTAAGGTGTAATGTAGTTCCTGTTAAATTCTGTTTTGTGTTTGGAATTTATCTGAAGCAAGAGCTGTCTTTCATTATTTATCTTTTACCAGGGTAAGGCTGGAAATCCAGGAGAAAGAGGAGATCAAGGAGTACCAGTAAGTACTGGAATGCTATGGTACTGCTACCAAGACAGGCAAAACTTTAGACCTTACTCTGATCATATAGTTTGTGTTTGAATAAGGGGCCTGAAGTAGGAGCAAATGTGAGTATGTGAGTGTAGCCTTGTCTTCTGTTAGACCAGTGATTTTTGGATGATTTTCCACAGAGAGCAGTATGATAGCCAACTGCAGCAGGAAAAAAAAAGAAAGAAAGAAAGAAAACAAAACAAAACCTTATAGTAAGCAGGAGAATGCTGGAAGTTACTTCAAGGAGTTCTATTGTAGCTTTAAATGGTAAAGTCATTGTGGCATATAGTGTTCTGACAGATTTTAGGATAAACATGTACTACCAGTATGGGACTGAATATACAATGTATATACCATGCTTAAAGATGTAGATCCTCTTTTTAGTGCTTCTTTCCATTGAAGTATAAGATGTTCTGCTGGCACTTTCTTTTGTAAAGATGGTTTCCAGGCAATCCAAGTTGCAGCAGACTTTCGGAAGTAGGAAAGAAGTAATGGTAGTGACTTTTGTACTGATACTCAAATTCATACTCAAAATGTTTGTTACCACTGAACTACTCTGCCTTTTTGTCTCAAATTGGAAAGGTTGTTGCCTCTCACCTTTGGCATAATAGTTTTTCATTTTCTTATCTTACACTATGACTTTTGTATGTGTTTATATAGAAAGAAATCAATGAAGCAAAACCTCTTTAGATTTAAGTGATGGGAACTTGTATAGTTATTTTAGAGTACAGAATGCTAATCTAGCACTGCTTCAGGTACACTGTCTGGAAGGGAAGTGACCTAGGTTGAACAGAAAGGGCTTCTTGCTGCCTACACTGTGCCAGTCGCATTGAACCTTGAGGCTGATCTCGAACCCTGTTGGTAAAACAGGACACTAAACACTGTGGATTAGCACAGTTTGTTCATACAGCACCTGAGACTAAGGAAATGGTGAGGAGCTTGTAAATGGTGGGTCAGACTGGAGCTGTCCCTACACATTCAAAGAAACAGAGGCAGGATTCACTCAGGGCTCCCTCACTTGCCGCAGGATTCACTCAGGGCTCCCTCACTTGCCACAGGACCTATTGCCGAGGTATCACATAATCTAGAAGGAAAGGCTGAGAGTATTTCTTGTATATTTCTGAAAAAAATATTGAATAAGCAGAAATAAGAGCGGATGTGGCTTTTTACAGAATATGAAACATCTTGTTTCCTATGACTTTATTTTATTTCATTTTATTTTAATCTTTCAGGGTCTGCCTGGGCCTCCTGGAACCACAGGAGACAGGGGACCAATGGGAGAGCCAGTAAGTTGATCTTCATGGCAGATTAATAATTTTTCCACATATTGTACTGAATTCCTTGGAAACTTGAGCTCAGTTTTACCAAGATTTGGTGTTGTCAGCTGCGGTTAAAAATGAATCATGGGGTAATTGTTCCAAAACTACGGGGCCAAAGTCTGCCTCACTTAGAGCAACTCGTACATAAGCAGCTCTGTTGATCTTTTGGGGAAGCACTGCAGTAAGGAGTGCACAGCATTAGAGAGCATGCAGAATTTTGACCTCAATATTTTGTGAGTTTCTGCTGCATTGAGGTAGACCTCTGTATTGTGGATTATGTAAATGTGTGTAAATACAGAAATAAGCAGTAACTCTTTTCAGGGAATTTTTACGATGGTTATTTCAGAAGCTTCGGGTCCACATCTATTTGGCAGGTTAGAGTTTCAACAAAAAAGAGACTGTTCTAATAAACTGCAGACATTCCCCCGCTGACTGGATTCTTGTTCTGATTATTACTATTTCAAAGCCACAATCACATTTATGCAGCTAGTGTTGTAACGAAAGATCATGCAGGATATATGCAATGTGCTGAAAGGTGTAGTCATGACAAGAATACTATTGCATCACCATCTCTGGGGGGTAAGTCAGATTTTATAAATATAGTGAAAGAGCGTGTGCTAGAAGTATTTAGAAGGCTGCTGTTTATAGTGCAGAAACTTAAAAGTTGTCAGTTGTTTGCTTTTATTGTTTCTTAGAAGTCCTTTTGCACAGCAAATGATCTATAGTTATTTTGAAGGTGAATTGTTGATATAAAGTATATTAGTCCTACTAGTATTATTATATGTAATAAAATATTATTGTTTGTACTGATCTGCAGTTTGGCAGAAATGCTTACAGAAAGCTATTTCACAACTTTTTGACCATAAAAATTCCAACAGTCAACAGGTTTTATTTTAGTAAACTGTCTTTTAAATATTATTATCTACTCATTTCATTGACGACTTTGTAGGAGGATGTGTCAATAAAAAACAAATCTAATGTTTATTATTGGATTCCTGCCATTTTATCTCTTTCATGTAATCTAATCTGCTTCGTCTAGTTTCTACATTGTGACACCTGACAATTCTTACAGTGCCAAGTTTGCATATGTTTCCTGTCATTTTCTGATCAAATCTGGATT